CATCACTCGACACACACTTTTTCATCTTTCAGACAGGATCCACTACTCCTTCGCATGCGCCTCGGCTCTCGCAAGAACCTGCCTTCCCAACCCACCGCCCTGTCTGTTGGGATCGACGGCGAACAGCCCGAAGTAACCGGTGCTGGGCTTGCCGTCGCCGGCTGGGCGGTGCTGGAGCTCACAGCAGGCTACGAGCTCGCCCGTCGCGGCGTCGTGGGTGATGAGGACCAGGCCATCAGGGGCATTGATCTTGGATTCAAGGTCTGCGGGGGAGATGCGTTTGTCATTGAGGTAGGCAGATTCGTTGGTCCATCCTTGGTTGCCACGGTATGCTGTGCGGATGAGAGGCAGAAGGTTGGGGACGTCGGTGGTAGTAGCCTCGCGGAACGCGAGGATTGGCTGGAGCCGCTGAACCATGTTGTATTGATGTGAGGTGGCCTTGCTAGCGAGAGGAGGTGATATGAGATCTGAATTGGATGGCGTTGACCTTGGATTGCGCGGCCGTCTCGAGTGGTAGTTGTGGCGCACGTTGCGGGGTTTTTTGTTCGCTGCCGATGGAAACCCTTATTTTCATTCGAGTGAAGGGCTTTTTCCTTGTTGTGTGAGCTTGAGTGCTGTCAACACTGTGGTCGCACTTGTTCTCCGACTGACGACACGGGCTGTTGAGGTAGCCATGTACACTACACCAACATGACGACGTTCCATGGGTCTTATACTCGCGTTTCCGACGTCGGTTATTAGCAAAGTCACCGACAACTAAAATGTTGCGTCGGGCGACCCCGCAAGATCAACCCCGCCGCTTTCAGGCCGTTCCGTGCTGGGAGCAAAAACGAAAGTTCCAGGCTGGACCAGGGGCCACTTTGACGAGTCAAGTCTCGCCATCGCGGCAAGCTAGTGTGCCTACGACAGCGGTACCTCCCTGCGAGGACATGTCCATGGCGCCCTTGGATCTGGAACGGGCCATCGTGTCAATTCCCGATCGCGTGGTCCCAAGACAAGGGCGCAGATGGCATCAACTATATGCGCTGACCAATGGCCAACATATTTCACTGCATTCTTAAACCCACGTTCAAAGCACAGCTTGTTAAGCTTCCCAAGCCGGAAAACAATACGAGGTCAAACTAAAGCTAACACAGGTGGCTGTACGGGTTCCATATGGACGACTGGGCTGGTTTCACTCATTTCTCTCAGGGTTGCTTGCGACCGCGACAACCACAACCTGCCGATAAAAGGGTCGAGATAATCACCAAGCATCACCATTTCGCTATTGAGGCAAAGTCCTCCTTTCCAATTCTCATGCTGAAGCTGTGTATGTGAACACTTAGAACCATCTCATCCACAGGGCACCAAAGGGAAGTGCGGCATTTTGGCGCCAGAATCATGATGTCTAGTTCCGAGTGGCCAGATCATCAAATGGGGTCGTGGTTTAGGGGTATAATGTCCGCTTCGCATTGTCACATCAATCCTTGCGGAAGGTCCCGCGTTCGATTCGCGGCGATTCCATTCCTTTTGCTCTCATCACGATTTAGTTCCTTGCTCTTCGGGTGAACGATGTATTTTCCTTTTGGAATGGGACCTCGTTCGGAAGAGTTATCTTGGCTATTCTATCCTGCTTCCGATCCATATCCACTTGGACGATCATGTTGACCCTGATGAAGAAATAGGCTTCTATTTCTTGTTCATCGCCGTCCCTTTCCAACTACCGTCCGGCAGGGTGAAAACTGAAAGATATTTCTCCCAGGTGATGGAGTCCACCTTGAACCAATGCTTGTAGTCGCACCAGTGACAGAGCTTCCTGGTCTGCCGGCGCCCTTTTCGGGTTTCCCTCCGTACGAACTGATCCGTGGTCTGCAAACTTTTGCATTCTGGGCACCGGCTCATATCGGCAGGACAACCTGCCTTGGAATCAAAAGGCAGTTTACGGTTGGCCCGAGACAGTGCCGCCCACCTGTTCGTGCCAGCAGGGAGCGATGACGGTAGGGGAACGCCGGATGTCGGAAGAGAGCCGGGTGCCGGACGGGGACTGGCCGCCAAAGGCGCCTGGGGGGGCGACGACCCGGTGGAGCCTCCTCCGGACGAGGAAGAGTGCGTTTTGCTGTCAGTGGTTGAGTTAGACATGGCTGTCTTGGTTATTTCTGGAATATCGAAGTTGTGAGTTTTGGTAATGCTGTTACTTTGCATGATGCTGCAGGAAAAGAAAAACAGAAGACAGACTAGGGGGAGGGGAGACCCTTATATGCCTTTTCTTGAAGAGGGACCAGCCTAGAACCACCAGCAGTGTTTCATTTCACTGCCATGAGAACGCCCTTGCCTGTGTAACGCGGTCTCTGAATCAGCCCATCGACCTTTCACGCCAGACCGCTACGCCTGCCGTTCCTCTGCCCCCAGCCCAACGAGCAAGTAATGAAAGCAAACATGAACCATGCCGGTGAATAGCATGCCTTTTCGCACTCGAAGAGATTGTAACGGAGCTCTGATTCGATTCTTGCTTTGTAGTCTTGCTGCATCACGTCCCCCTGACGTGGCGGTTCATCCTAGGAGATGAGCTGTCACCTCGCGACAACAATGGCGTTTTGCAATGGCCCGCCGTGAGGAATATGCGTCTCTTGACTGGTAGAAATCGGTGCATAGCTCTTTCACTCATGGACATTGTCTCGTTCCGTGAAATAGTGAAGGAAAACGTCACGGCAGGACGTGGTTCGCGACCTTTTTAGCTTCAGATAATGGCGAAGACAGCGCAGACAAACATTTTCGCCATCTTGAATGGCCTTGTGTGATCCCCTGACGCTTTCTGCCTCGTAAAAGAGACCAAAATGCCTGAATTCTTTTGCAGTGGAATGGCCACCTGTGCAAAGCCCAGCCGTGCAGCGCCAACCACGGCACTCAGACTCAGATGCTCGGTGAATATTGCCTAGAAATCTGGACATGGGTCTCGGTGAAGCAGGGATCTCACCCTTTTCTGAACCCCGACGAGTCGGCATTCGTCGGCTTTCCGAAGGGCCCAGTTTACATAACTCGCCTGGTACTTTCTCCATTCTAAAATGCCTCGACAAGGGCCTTGTGTCAACATTACCACCTCCAGATTGTCCCTGTGGGTACGACGCACGCCGAGTGACATACGCCTGCCTTCAATATGGCCCAAGGTACTGTATCGGGTCTTCCCTGTGCCGAGAGTTGGACCCTAAGCAGCGACTCTGGCGATGAGTACTTGATACAAATTGGCTATCCCCGCAACTGGACGGCTGAAACAGCGGGCTCCGATGACCATACGGTTCCGGTGATGTAAGTCAATATTCTTCCGCTTGAACTCCTCTTTCTCACGGCCACAGTTATCTTACCGATGGAAACTCCGTCTTTCTCACAGCCCTCGAAGCTCTCCACCGTTGGCTCTCCCTCCGCGCTCCCGGCGCACCATCCAGCGGCGTTGTCGTGGCCATAGGCTACCCCCTTCATGATGATAGCCCGTTCCTGTTCAACGGCCGCCGATCAAACGACCTGACGCCTCCATTGCCTGGCGCTGGAGAGACAGAAGGCGGCGCTGACCAATTTCTGGATTTCATCGAGCAGCGCGTCCGTCCGTTCGTCAGCCAGAGAGTCAAAGAGAAGCAAGGAGTCTCCGTGGGGAGGGAGGCCCTATGCGGACACTCATACGGCGGACTGTTTGCTCTTCATGCCTTATTCACGCGGCCGACAATTTTTGACTACTTTCTCGTCACCAGTCCCAGCATTTGGTGGAATAAGAGAGCGATCTTGAAGCATGAATCGGGATGCTACGAGAAGATAGGTGACAAGGCAACTTCAGTTATGCTTTTCGTCGGCGGTGATGAACAGGAACCACCGAGGCGGAAGGGCGAAAAGGACGAAGACTTTGAGCAGCGCCGCGCGACACACATTGAAAGGCGGATGGTTGACAACTTGAGGGAGCTGTATGAGAGACTTAGGAAGTCTGGTAAGCTGGCCCACATTTCCCTATCAGTTTACGAAGGCGAAGATCATGGTACGGTGATTCCTTGCGGCGTCAGCAAAGGAGTTTGGACATTCCTGGATGACTGGCCATGTATAGATTAGGCCAGAGGCAAGCCATACATTCATGCTTTCCCATGGTCTTTCATCGCAGCACAAGGCTCTTTTCTGTAGACATTGACGATTTACTTCTTCTCATCGACTGAACTGTGGTGTCCATCTGATCTCCTGTTTTTTCAAGCTCTCAATGAACTGGCCACCTTGAGAGCCAGCGATACTTCCTTCCTTTGCGGCAGGCCACTCAATATCGTTTTGGTAGTCAACTTGCCAATCTGCATCACCTTGCCCGCACAAGCAGGCTCATTGAACACAGGCAGGTTTAAATCAACAAGAGGCACATCGGATGTTCAGCTCACATGGGCCCAGAGTGTAGCTTCTCTATTTGAATGATCACCGTGAAACAGCCGAGCAAAAGTATTTACATTGAAACGAAGTGGCTCCTGGCCAACTTGAGCCATTGAACGCGATGCTGCACCTCTCTGTTCCTGCATCTTCACGTCATGCCTGAATCTTTCAGCCCTCTGTATCGTGGGGTCCCCCTTTCGGCTTGAACTTGAACTCCTAGCATGTTCGCACGTCCTTGGCATGACGGCGAGTCTTCTTGGCCGCGTTGTATAGAGGCGGTCCAGGGATGGGGTACTCAGTCGCGGTGTAAATGTTGAAGAGCACACCAGGGTCCGTCTCCGTGTAGAGGCTCGTACCCGCGACGCCACTGGGACTTGCCGAGCCGCCACCGGAAATCTCCAGATTGATGCACTGCGGGTAGAACTGGGCGCCGTTCGGCTGTCCTCCAGAGTGCAGGGCGATGATCTCATGACGGAGCACGTAGCTGCCGGCGGCGATGTCGGTCGGGATCGTGACCTCCCAGACCTCGCCGGCAGCGATGAGTTCGTCAGCAGCCCAGTTTGAGCTGGCGGCGTCCAGGAGCCCTTGCTCGGCAATCTTGAAGAAGCGGAGCGCTGTCTTGTCGACGGTCGTGCAGTCACCGTTGCAGTTGGCAAGATAGTCGATGATGGGTCCCTTGTGCGACTCAGGCCAGGGAGACCATTTGAGGGTCAGGGTATCGCCAGCTGCCACAGGGATGTGCGAGCCTCCGTTGGTAGCGGATCGGTGGCAGATGATGTCTGGATCTCCGGTGGCCGCAGGCTCGACGAAGCCAAGGTCAGGGAAGTCCGCAGTCCACCCGGGAACGACTGGGGGCGAGGGGTTATAGGGGAATGTAGACGGGTTGTAGTTGTCGTACGTCTTGCCATTGACGGTGATGGTTTCGACAAAGCCGTGCGCAGCGGCGGACACAGCACCGAGCACAACAGCGAACAGAGCCTTCTGAGCCATATCTGCAACTTTGACTTTTTTTTATATAATGGAGGTTTAGAAACGTAGAGGGATCAGGCACGAAATGGAGAGAGCGAGGAAGTGTGTAATGCGAGCGGCTTGTTGAGAAATAAATGTACCAAGCTGGAAGTAAGCCATCAACCTCCATCTTATACCTTTCAGTCGTCTTCGCATGAGACGCATTCACTGCTGTTGGTTTTCATCTAGCCAACTTTGTTCGTGTACCTAGCTCGTCCCCGATCACGTCTGCGATGCGATCGCTATGCGTGGTGACTACCAAGAACGATCGGCACGACAAATCGGAGCCTCATCATCCGCCAAACACGACTGCGCCCAACCGAGTCCCCTCTTGCCCGTAAATATCTCAGGACGCACAGCACAGCAATTTACTTCGGACGGGCACGATCGGCGTCGCGCCGGCCTCTGTCCAATGATATGCACCGTCAGGCGGCTGACGCGCACCGGGAACCGCATACCAGCTCACCCTGCCGCCGAAAGACTACCCGGGCTCCTTGCACCTCATGCCGTTGACTGCCGATCTTGCATCTCTTTGCTTCGGAGCTTTCTTGCGGTTCCGGTGGTCGGTCCGTCATACGAGCCAACCTCCTGAGGGCGTACCCGCTGACCCAAAAAGCGGTCATGGGGTCCGAGAACCGCCAAGCAAGGCCTGTGGTGAACGACTCGATCGAAAGTTGCGTAGAATGCAGTGCATAGCACGGTGCAACAGTGCCACGCAATTCTGTCGATTACAGATACCATCGTGGTTCGCGACAGGTCAGGTAATTTATACCAAACAGCCAGGTCTGAGATGATTGTTGGCAGGTCGATATGCGTCTCGCTCGGACTTCCCGCGCAGCGGCACTTCCGCCAGGCCGGATCAAAAATTCCAGCAGTGGTCATTTGGGATACTAACGAAGAGAATACTGAACCACATTCTTCGTTTTCCTCTCAGGAAGCTTAGCAAGATTGTGTATATGACAGTCGAGCAGCAGCTATGCTTACATACCTGTCCTATCCTCAGGACACTTTAACATAATTTTGGCAGCGAGCAAAGTGAGATGATTCCAGTCGTTATTCGGCTGCAAACTATCAGATCCAGACCAGACAAAAGCAGCATGTTAGCCCCTTGGGCCAGCACAGACGTATCCTGCGTCAGTTAGGTCGACACTTCATATACCACAGATTCTCGAAAGTGGGACTGCCAAGCTGGATGAGATTATCCTGGATGGAGCAACACGCTTCGCAGCCATGTAACGGGCCGCCTGCCGTCGGGATGTGAGGGCCCCATTATTCACAAAAGACGACTGCGGCTGAGCTCTCTCCTGCCTCAGTAAACCTGGCATCCTGGCATTGAAGCTGCCGTGTCGAACCACGGCGCCGTAATCGTACAGAGGGCCTTGCTCAACCAGCCCGTGCCCTTGGCCTTCCATCATACAAGCAGGTAGCCTAAGACAGTCGCTCATCCTAGTACTGCCTCCTCACTCCTTTTGAGCAAAGAAATGAGTCCAAGGAATCTGGATATTCTCGGCGCTGTTGTTTTGAATCTGCGTGTCCCATGAGGACTGTTTGCCTTATTAGTCGAACGATCCTACGCAACCCAACTGCGGCCTGTGTCAAGCATCGCAACTCACCCAGTCTATATCGCTACCCATGCCTGGATCGCCAACAGAGTCAAATTGAAGGCCATGCGCAGATTGGAATCCGGGTTGTGCTGTCCAAGAAAGTGTTTGCGCCGTGTGAGCCCCTTCTAATGAACCAGCCGGGTAGGGCAGCACAGTAGTTGGCCCCCAAGATGAGCTGGGGTGCTGCTCTGATGCGAAGGCTCGAACTCCTGTTTGGTAAGATGACTTGTCAGTGTCGGGTCAAGAGTTGCTCGTCTGCGGCAAACTCACCAGAGGCGAACTGATAGGAAGGCCGCTGATTCAGATCCACTCCGCCAGGCTGCGCGTTCCCATCAGCAGCCGAGTCTGGGCTGCTTTCGTACTGCGTGCCCGTGGAAATGGTCAGCATCCGAGATAGGATCTTGAATGCGCGGCTTGCCTCGGCCGATTGAGTTCGCATCGAGCCCCAAATTCCACGTGAGGTACGGAGTATGTGCAGCAGCCTGTCCTTCTCGATGGGCTCTGCCGCAACCGCTGCGTCGCTGGGAGTCGACGCTCGCAGCAGGAATGATAACTCGAGGCACAGCATCATGTTCGCCAGAAGAAAATCGTGCGTGCTTAGGCTCGACAAGAACCATCTCTCTTTGGAAAGGCGACCCCCAGGCTGTATCTCGGTGTTCACGTCAAATTGATACTCGAGGGTCTTGGTAGCAGCGTCAATGCAGTTGAACCGAGAGGGAGCGTAGCGTTGGTCATTGCGTCCCAGAGCGAAGTAGCGACGGTGCAGAACGATACGAGCTTTCAGGTACATTAGTTCAATCCACAGCCTTTGCATGATGAGATCAATCGGGTCACCAATCGAAAGGCTGAAGGATCGCGCTCGGAGGACGGGGGGTATGTCCTCGTGAGCCTTCTCCAATTGATCATTGAGGCGCAGGACTTCTCCGTAGGTTGGACTGTCTCTGTCGGCCATTCTCGCGAGGATATCGCCAAAGGCAACAACGAGCCTTGACTTCACGATCGTATATAGGGCAGGAGTTCTCTCGGTGAGGGGCCGCTCCAGCGGCAGCTCCGTCGTCGTCTCGTCAAAGTCTTCGTCATGCAGGTTGTGGGGCAGTCCGGTGTCGAAGTACCTGTGTTGTACGTTGCCGGGCAAGCCGAACTGGAAGGCCACCAGCACATCAATTTCGACGAGAATAGTCCAGAGTCTCTTTCGCATCTCATGCTCAAACACAGTAAGCCCTTGGAAGTGCTTGGGGTCCCGATGCAAGCCAGAGTGCATGGCCAATCTGACGATGATGGCCATCATGATGGATGTGCCTCGCTGAGCATCGCTCAGCCGGAGGTATTCAGTACCAAAGTAGAGAATTAGTGCTTCAACTTTGTACTTCCCGGGCTTAGTGTAGTCATCGAGGGCGAGACACTGCGCGGATCTGATCCGATAGAGATCAAGGATATACTGTGGGGGTCCGATATTGCCAGGAACCTCTTCATCGCCTCGAAGACAGAAGAAGGCGGCGTGGCTGATCATGATGCACAGAAGACCAATCCAAGTGATGGAATATTCGTGAGGGCGCTCCCAGAAAGTAGCATACTACTTCAAGTCAGCGAGAAACATCACATGGGAATTGTTACACAACGGGCCTCTCTGAGAAATGCAGGCACATGAAACATGGCTGAAGGATGTCAGCTAATTTTCCCTGCCATGGGGGTTTGTTCGTCGTACACCATGCCGGCTCCTTGCCCTTGAAGAACCGAGCAATGAGACGGTCGGTGATGTCTTTTTGCGGAAGATAATCCATGAGGTCTTGCGTAGTTGCTGGAGGGAAGGTCCCCAACAGCAAGACCGGCCCTTCGGTACTCGCGAATGCTGAGTCGAGATCGTCAGCATCGTCATCTTCCCTCTCCCCGTGACCAGTGTCGGTCGTCTTGAGCTCGTCGGTGAGCCTGGTGACCTACGTGAGACTTAGTATCTGCAGACACTCGCAGGACCAAGACCATGGTCACCACGTACATCATCGAGAATGGCTTCCCAGTTGGCGGAGTCCACGTAGCGCAGTTTATCAACCATCGGTCCAGCGGGGGTTGGTTCCTTGATGCCGCTCAGATCACTTGGAGTCTCAGGCAAGCGCGTTCGGCCGTACAAACTACCACCCTTTTGGCCGAAAACATCGTCCATGACGATGCCGCGCTCAGCGAGTTTTGCTCGAACATCGCTCAAGACATCTTCCAGATGTTTAAGCTTAGCCTGCAGCGTGGGCGTGTCAGCGAGCCCCTGGGGCTGACTGGACGCTTGAGGGACCGGTGCCGGTTGCCTCGTGGCTGTGCGCGGATAGAGGTATGGCACATAGTCGCAAGAGGCGACAATATCGCGCTTGATGCACTGATCGCAAGGCGACGCTCGATTGCACTTGAGCCTGGCATCTCATGTCAGCAATGATATGTTGACCAGAAGACATGAGGATATACGGTCTCATGCTAACTTTTTTTCGCGGCAGTGGCTGCAGGAGAATCTGATCCGATTGCGCTTTCGATGTCCTTCACCTGCGGTAGACGGTTTGATCTCGGCACGCCCAGCAGACGGCTCCTGTGCTGCGGCGGAACTTGAAGGCTCTGCCATCTGATACAGATATTCCAACGAAACAATAGCAAGCGGATATTATTCGAGCTCCTCTAGACGTCTGAACTGGTCAGCACGAGGCTGAGGACGTCGATCAGCTTCAGCGCGACGACCAAATGCCCTGCGGGGTCGCGGGCGGTAAACTGAGGGCGAAGCGCGGGGCAGGTCGCATGCCTAATAAGCGCAGTCTACTGTGCTGCTGTCTGTGGTGGAACGAATTCAACAGGATGACTAGTCCTGAACCGGAGCCACTCGATGTTTACCTTTCTTGCTCAGAGCTCCATTGTCCGGCATTAAATTCGTTTTGAAGTGCACACACAAGTCGACAGCGGCGTTATGCACAAGTGGGACGATGATTCCGCATTCGCCGCGAGCTATGGAGCGACTCGGATATGGGCGCAGGGCATCCCATCTTACCTCAGGGCACCACGTGAGTTGAGGAGCCAGCGAATCGCGCAATGGATGCTCGTCGCCCTGCCCACGGACGCTGCAGAGTCATCCTGTGTCACTTGAAGCACAGAGTGTCGTCCTTCTTTGGCAATCTGGAGGCATGTCAAGCCTGTCGTTCGGGTATGGCGGAGGTCATCCAGGTTATATAGGTCGTCGGGATCCCAAGCCCGGATTTATGGCACAATGTCCACGGCTCCCATCGCGTCTGTACCGCCGGATTTTCGATTGGAAGCGAGAACACTGACAGATAACTCCGGCGCTCGCAACTCTAAAACCCCAGGTGACTGGCCAATCTAGCCTGGCCCCGGTCTCAGGCCCCGGGGTTGCCAGACGGAGCTGGTCCCGTCCCTGAGTGCTAGAATCCCCACAGGTCTTGGCTGGCTGGAGGACGACGGTGAAGGTGAGTGAGCCGTCTGTTGGGTTTGCGTGGTGTTCGATCCCATGGAAGACGACACTTGCTTTGGAGATGACCTTCGAGCCTTGGTCAGCTCTAGCGCGACCACAATGTTTGATAGAACTTCTCGTGCATTGGTCAGAACACCGATGCCTGGGTTGTTTGACCACTTCATGCTGGCTGAGGCCTCCATCGGTTTGGAGTCTCAGCGAAGCCATGTCTGGCGACACTGGTTGCTGATCGCTGATCCAGGTGGTCAAACCAAGTACTGTGCCTAAGGTACCTCAAGGTAGGTAGGTAGGTAGGTACCTAAGCGGAGAGAAGCGTGCCGAGAATGGTCTAGGGCGAAAAGGTACGTACTCAAGAGCCTGGCACCAAGAACCGGGAGCTGTTATGAACGAAAATGACGTCGTGAGCCTCTCGCCCTCCCCGTGTCACCACGCCGCGCTGTCGCGATTGACCCATTTCATACATCCAGTCTCGACGCAAGACGCATCACCGAGCTTGCTACGCCTTCGTCCCGATCGCCATCATGGCCGACACTCAGCCGTCACATCCGTACGCTCGATCCCGAGTACCCCTCTTCGTGCGGCGATACGCCAACGACATTGTCCGCTGTGCGCGCGCAGCCTCATTTCCCATACGCGGCATTTGGTACTTTCTGCGCAACAAGGAATTCTACCCATTGTTCCTCAGCCGCTTGTTGCCTCTCTCCATCATCTCTGTTCTTGTCTATGTCATTCTCTTCACCTTTACCTTCCTACCACAACTCGCCCTCCTCGCCATTTTCCAGGGCAGAAGCGCCTGGCTCAATGCCACAATCCTGGTGCTTGGAGAAGGTCTCGTCGTGATTCAAGGACTCTTTGAAGGCTTTTTTGTCGATGAGGCTCGTGTTGATGTGTTCGACGTGAGTATTTGTCCCCTCTGGCTACCCCGAGTCATGTCGTAACCTCTCGATCCAGGCTACTCTCATCAAGTACTCGCACACCGACCTCGTTTCCCCTCATCGAATCCTGTTTCCCGATGCGCCGACCGCCATAAAGATGCTGGGGAAACCTACCAGTTCCGCCATCTACACACCATGGAGTATGATCCAGATCATCGAGGTCATCGTGTTCCTGCCCCTGAACTTTATTCCTATATTCGGCGCACCTGCCTTTATCATCATCACTGGAACGCGCCTCGGTAAGCTCGCACATTACCGCTGGTTTCAGCTGCGGGGGATCAGCAAAAAGGAGATGAAGCAGGAGATCAGCTCGAGGGTTTGGGAGTACGTGTGGTTTGGGACTGTGGCCATGATCTTGGAGCTCATCCCCGTCTTCTCGTTTTTCTTCTTGCTCACAACAAGCGCGGGCTCTGCCATGTGGGCGGCGCGGGTCGAGGACGAGAAGAGGCGGTTGGCCGTTGGTGATTTAGTAGGTGACGGAAGCCCGTCTGCTACTTCACCGTCGCAAGCAGTACCACCACCAGCCTACGAGGATGATCCTGTGTAGTTTCCAAGGCAGCAGCCACAGGGCAGATTGGCTTTGGTCGAAAAATTCATGCTCTAGTCATGATTGCGCCTCCGGCTGTACATCGATCTAGCGGTCTCATCCACGCGCAGTCAGCGCTGGACCATTTGAGGGACAGAAGTGACGGGCACGGCTTGCAGCCACTTCGACCGCCGATACTCACGTGCCCTTTTCAGGGCTGAATACCCTCTTCACCACGCTACAGGCCTGCCAACGCTGCCCGGTGGGAAAGAGCCTGAGTGAGGCTGTCTTCCACAGGTTATCATTGTTCCTGCGCCCAACAAAATTTGGGCCATGATTGAGTTTCAGATTATCCACCACGCGGCAGGTGCTATACTTGAACATGCCTTCAACTGGGGAAGGAAAGACCTCGGTCAAAATCACAGGAGCGGCAAGAGTAGTGGTCCACCCCTCGGAACCACGAAATCTGGGCCTGCATTTTGGAAGGCGCGTCTGCACAATGCCATTTGGTTGGCAAGAACGAATGAACAGCCACACAGAGAATTCTGTCTCCTGCCTTCAAAGGCATCAAGTCCCGTGGCGACAAGTCTCGGGGACAGAAGCGCATGTTTGTGGCCGTCAAATGCCTAGGTACCTCATGCAGCGATTGCTGCTTGTCAACGCTCTGCCGAACATATCACATGAAACCCCAGTAAACAATTCAAAACTCGTCTGTATTACATGCTGCTGCTGACGTGCTAGTCATGATGAACATGGAAGTCTGTGGTCTGTGGTTTCCCTTTTCCCCTCCCGTGCCTCGAGCGGTGCTGGTGCCCCTGGCAATCCTGGACGTGAGGTGGTTCCTTCCCTCTTTAGAGTGCCTCGGGGAGAACTCAACAACATCAACGCGGCAGGAACGATGCTGCCCTGCGTGCTTCACCATGATCGTGGGGTCCTCCTTCCTTCAGATCATGACATGTGAGTGCTGTTGCCCATAAACTCCCTCATCCTCGCACACATCTCTCTCAACAAATTCCTCTCCCTTCTCCATCCCCATCTCTCATCCTCCTCCATTTCCCTCCTCTCTCGCTCCCCCTCACGGATCACTTTTTCGTCTTCTCTTCGTTTGTCGTTACCGTTGTCTGTCCACTCCAACCTCAGTCATTCTTTTCCCGTATTGGGCGTTCAGATTCTGCTTCGTTCATTGTTTCAACGTTGCAGCGGCCTTCCAGTTCACTGGTCGTCTTGGGCAGCCCACATCACATACTCAAGCTCACGAGGCCCTTGCGTCGTCAACGGCATTGAGTCTCACGACGGCTGAGATGCGTATTCACGCTCCTCTTGGCGTCCTGGCCTTTGGCCTCCTCGGCTTGACGTCGGCCGATACTTTCCCTCCGTAAGTCTCATCCTCGGACGATGAAAGACATTGTCGGTGCATTCGTCGCCCTGATGGCTCACTGACCCAAACAGCGACGACGGTTACGGAGGCGGCACTTGTGCCCCCACGGCTACCACCACTGTCTTTGTCACAGTTCCTGCCACCAACGCCGCTTCTCCTCCCTTTGTGGCTGGTCCTCAGACTGTCACCGTCACTATCCCTGCTTCTGGCAATGGAGCTCCTGGAAACCCTCTTTCTCCCGTCTATACAGTTACCGTCCAGACCTTTGGTCCTGGTGAGAGCTCCCCCTACAACGGCCCACGTCCCTGGGAATCCCGCTTGACAGCTACTGGGGTTTCTACCCGCACTGTCACCCTACCTGCTCCGGACGATGTGCCCTCTGCCCCAACTGGTGGCAATGGGTCTCCTGGCACAAACTCCCCTGGCCCTGACGACAACACTGGTACCCCTGGCACACCTGGCACGCCTGGCACGCCTGGCACGGGAAGCCCCGGCACCGATGGTGGAAATGGCTCCCCTGCGCCAGATGGTGCCTCTGACAACCCTGGTTCATCTGGCGGCTCACCTGCAGACGGTTCTCAGTCCGACCCTGACTGTGTCACTGTCATCACCACTACCTTATACAGAACAGAGCCCGGCACCGGCAACGGTTCGCCCACCGTGGACACTGTCGTCGCTACCCTCACATTTACCTATCCCCATGACGCAGACGGATCTAACAATGATGGTTCTGGCACAGTTGCCACGAATGCTCCCAACGGTGGGCAATTGCAGCCATCGATCATTACCAGGACCGTTTATCAACCTGCTTTAGGACCAGGTCAGCCTTCGCCATCTCCAAGCTTGATCGTCGAGACCATCACCATTCAAGCACAAGACCCGAATGCATCTGGCAGCAACGGCCCAGGCGTCACTGCTGTACCTGACATTCCTGGTGACGGCAACAGTGGCCCGTTTTCTGTCATTACCACAACCCTTTATCACACAAGGACCATTCCCGGGCAGGCTGTTGTCACCACTGACACCATCGTTGCCAGCTTCACAGTTGCTTTCCCTCCGACGTCTCCCACCAACTCTGGCAACGATGGCTCATCCGGTTCCCCCGCAGGCATCGATGACAGTGTCACTTTCATCACTACTACTTGGTACGAGACCACCACGTGTCTGGATTCGTTGGGTAACCCCACACCCACTGTCGTGACGCATGCCACTACCATCGCGAGCGTGCTCCCTCTCCAGGCTTCCAACGTGCCGGATTCTGGCGTCGGTTCACAGGCCTCAGGAGACCATGGCGATCTTGTCACCGTCATCACCGAAACTGTCTATCGTCCCGTCCCGTCACCTGGGGCCAATGGAGAAGATTCACCACTCGTTGATACCATTGTCGCTACAATTACTGCCACATTCCCGGGTGATGCCACGGATGACGGCTCAACAGGCGCTGACATTGTCACGGTCATCGTCACAACGCTCTATGTCACCGCGACCTCACCAGCAGGCTCTGCCGACGAGCTCACCTCCTCCAATGGTGCCGTTGTTCAGACATTGACCGTGACGATCCCAAGTCCGTCACCTGTCCCAGGTGGCGCCTTGACTGGCGCTCCCGTGGTAACTCCCGGATCAGGCAACGGCATTGGGCCAGACAATGTCATCACTACATCACTGTATCGTACGGCCACGTATATCGGTCCTGACGGCCAGGCTACTGTCACAACCGAAACATACGTCGCAACTATCACCGCCGGCACTTCGCCTTTTGGTCCCTACCTTCCTACTGGTGTCCCCACAGGTGCTCCAGGTAACAGCAATCCCCAAGTCACTGCTGTCACACAAACACTTTACCCAACAGGCTCTATCCCTGACAACTATGGTGTCCCCGGCTCTGGTGTCCCCGGCTCTGGTGTCCCCGGCTCAGGTGTCCCAGGGTCCGGGCTCCCGGGTTTCCCTGGTGGCTCTTCTCCCTCAGTCGTCGTCTACACTACGACACTCCTCCCAGGTGGCCTGGTTCCAAATGATCCATGTGGCAATGGTGCTAGCACCGTTATCACTGTTACCTACCCCAATCCCACGGCAACTGGGCCCAACGACAGTATTGTGCAGACCCTGACGTACATCTTCCCACCAGCCACGCCAGGTGCCGGCGGTGGACTGCCCAGCACCCCAACAAATCTTCCTGGCGGTCTTGGATCTCCTGACCAGGCTTCTCCAGTTGGCTACAATTCCGACCTCACAGCCGGAACAGCAATTCCATTACCGCCCGACGGTAGCGCTGGCGAAATATCGGGCACACTCTATCTTACCAGCACTTTCGTCGTGACTCAGACCGTCCCAGCTGCCTACAACAATGGCAACAGCGTCGTGACATACCTCTCTGTTGCCACGGTCGGCACTGCATTGCCTTCCGTTGCTTCTGGTGCTGGTGGTGTGTCTGGGCAGCCAGGGCAACTACAGCCCCCTGTGCCTGGAGGTCAACCTGGAAGTGGCCAAGTTGAACCACCTGCCTCGGGCGCTGGCCAACCCGGCACTGATCAACCTAGTACTGGACTGCCTGGCAATGGTCAACCTGGCACCGGACAGCCTGGTACCGGACAACCTGGCATCGGTCAACCCGGCACTGGTCAACCCGGTACTGGTCAATCACAACCACTTGTTCCTGGCACCGGACAGCCCGGGGCTGCGCAACCTCAGCCACTTGTTTCCGGGGGTTCCTCTCCTGCGTCGGCGCCTTGTACTTCTGGTTTGCAAACAGGACTCGGAGGTCTCTCAGGAACCGTTGCTCCTGCTCAGCCATTACCACCATCTGGTGAGACCACACTGCCTGGTGGTTATGGATTCACCCAACCCCCGGTGCAGCCTCCCGCTGGCGTGCCCACTCCCGCTCAGCCCGTCAACAACCCACTGTTTTCAATCTCGGGTGCTCTCCCCCTCATTGGAACCCAGTCACTCAATACTCTTCTTCCTACCAGTGTTCCGCAGCCGCCTTCTGGTATTCCTCCAGCCGCGGGAAACCCTGCCCAACAAGTTCCCGGTGCTGCTGCTGGACACAACAGCAAGGATTGTTCCACCACTCTGCGAACCTTGATTGTCACCTCTGTCCAGACCAGCACATTCTTCAATATCGTGCCTGAACTAACCACGACGTATACCTTCCCGTATCAAGCACTCGTCACAGTCGAAAGCACCATTGTGACAGCAGAGCTGGCCCCAACTCTTTTGAAGAAATTCAGGCGCCAGCATGACGAACCCCTTGTCTTTGCAAATACAACTCAAGGAGGCCACCCAGCGTCGTTCGCGCCCCCTGTCGATGCCACTCTAATCACGATCCAGCCTGCGGTGATCCCAACAGCTCTGAGGCATTTCAAGAGACACGTTGACATCAAACCGGCCTTTGCCAACACTACCACAACTGCCTCCAGACCCACTGACATTACTGGAGAGCCGACATTATCAACTCTTTTTCCAAACCCAAGTCATGGAAACTCCACCTTGATTTCGACTTCATCGCTTCCAACTTTGTCTGGAACTACTTTGCAGCGATCTACTGCGTCTCCTGTCCGCGATCATACCAGCAGTAGTCTCTCTTCAAAGTTGTCCGACACGTCAAGCAACATCTTGACGGCATCCGCCACCATACCTGTTCAAGTTCCAATCTGCACGGGAGCAAAGGAAGTCGGTAACCAGGTGCTTGATGTAAGTCAATCCGCATTCTCCGTCCATATTTCCATGTTTGCTCACGTGTCCGGTCGTCCAGTTTGATGAGCTGCCCGTCGGCCCACTCTACAATCCGTACAGTCGCTTCTGGTTTTCCACTGGATTCCTCATCGCGCCTCCGCCATCAGTGCCATATACCCCTTCGTCTGGAGGCCGACTTCTCGAGTTCGTGCCTCCAGTGCTTACGAACGGCACGCTTGACACCTCGCAGTTCGGGGCTGGCATTGATGCAGCTTCGAACTGTTTCCGATTCAATTTCTTCGGCGCCAATCTTGGCTGCGATGCCCATGGGGAGAATCAGTTCTGCGAATTCACCTTCACCGGCTACCGCTTCAACTCGACCCTCAATGCCGAAGCCGAAGTCTTGTCGCAAGTCACATGGGTGCCATCATGCCCCACGCTCAAGGAATGCAATCTTACGCCATTCTCGGTCGAGGGATTCAACAACCTTTCATCTGTTCTTGTCACTCTTCGGGTTGACGGCAAGCCTGGCCCTTGGTGGGCGGATGATCTAAAGGTTGGCTGGACTGACAACAGCTGCGATGCGGCCCGGTGCCGCGCTGGCACACCACACCACACAGCCATCAAGCGTGGTAAAGAAGGCGAGCCCGTCTGGTACTGGACTCCTGGCGGTCTGCGTCGGCTCGGGTCCCGCTTCATGAAGTTCAGGGGTTGAAATGGCACAGTTGGTGCCTCGTCAGCGACTTATTAGGCTGCATGAGGATGCGGCTGCCTCGCATATGAATCGTCAAGTGAAAGGGAAGGCGTGTTGAGATGGTTGTCGATTACTCGAGACGTTTGCTTTGTTACGATGTTACGATATATGGCATGCGTTTTTTGGGCTGGGGGTTAATGATGGATTGGCCTTCTGGGCGGAGTTGTGTGTCTCGTGCCTGATGTAATAGGGAAGACTAAAGCATAAAGCACAAAGCACATGGCGTGGTCAAGGGGCAGATTTTACCTTGCTAGAAATACTTACACGTCCAGTGGATTGGTTCTTGGTGCACAGCGAAGCCTATACGCTCTTAGATGTAAGCCATGGGTGGCCACAAGTGTCATGTGACGGTCGGGATTTGAAAGGGTACTCGGCTTCGGCTTGCCAATCGACTGGCCGTGCGAGATCGGAGAGTTCATGACAGGCCGGCGGTCAGAGTGCAACGCTACGTGGTCGGCCGTTGCAACGGAGTTGGCCGGGGCCTTGACAATCGACGCTACTTCAGTGGTGGAACGGGCGAAGGACGGGATTAACGCGGGGGCACGTCACAGGGCGCTCTTCAAAATCCGGGGCTGCGTTTGTCATCAACACGATGACTGGGCAAGTCGAGGGGATTGATGACTCGATTGGGAAGGCTTGCCAGGTTTACCTAGGTAAGTCAGTACCCTACCAAGAGCAAGATGGCTAGGCATAGTTAGTTTAAATACCTATAGAGGGGCCCACCGCTGGTGTTGTCATCGTTGTGATCTGGGAGTTCAACTTTGAGTCGACCTGCATTGATCGTACCATCCGTCGGTGGCGTCTACAATTGACGTCCAGGGCCATCTTTATTTTCTACGACAGTGTCATTGAATAGCGGGACGAGCCTGTTTTTTGCCGAGAGTATCACGTCACACTATTGAACCTCGGCGACGATGATGAATGCCACAACGTCATCAGAGCCATCCAGCGACATCGAGAAGCTGGAGCACTTCCCGACAGATGGTTCAGATTCAGAAGCCAAGCAGATCAAGACCGAAAGACAGAGAGCAGACGCATCCAGCAATGCCACCAGTGATGGAGAAGGAGAGGTTGACCAGCGTGATGACGATGAGAACCACCAGACGACCAGCATCGCGAGCCGCGTCCTTAGTCGGATGACTTCCCGCTCAAGCGTTGCACCTGGACCGCCGCCTGATGGAGGTTTCACCGCATGGATGTGTGGTAGGTGATACCGTTCTCATGCCAACCTGCTTGCAGTAGATCCTGACGATCGTGTCTTTCCGCAGTCCTCAGTGGGCACCTCGTCATCATGAACACTTGGTATGATGCTCTCCCTCTTCCCTTGGTCTTATTTACCATTGTATGAGAAGATTCGACTGACTGACCTCGACCTAGGGGTGTCATCAACTCTTTTGGTGTTTTTCAACCGCACTACACGTCGACTCTGAACCGTGCACCGTCTGACATCTCCTGGATCGGCTCATTCGAGATCTTTCTGCTCTTCTTCATCGGCACCTTTACCGGCCGCTTGACCGATGCGGGATTCTTCCGCCCCCTTTTTGCCACGGGCTCCGTGCTCGTGGTGGCCGGCACCTTTGCCACGTCGTTCTGCACACAGTACTGGCAGTTCTTCCTGGCGCAGGGTGTCTGCATGGGTCTCGGCAATGGATTCTTGTTCTGCCCGTGCCTGGCTCTGCTTGCGACGTATTTTCAGAAGAGGCGAGCGCTGGCGATCGGTATCTCGGCGTGCGGCAGCGCGACGGGCGGCCTGGTGTTTCCCAGCATCGTCAGGGAACTGCTGCCGCGGATCGGGTTCGGTTGGACGATGCGGGTCATTGGGTTCATCCAGCTGGCCACCATGCTCGTGAGCTTCTTCTTCCTCAAACCGCGGATCGCTCCGCGCAAGGCCGGCAAGTTGGTGGAGTGGGCGGCCTTTGCAGAGCTCGAGTACACGTTTTACGCCTTGGGGTCCTTCCTCGTGAGTTTCTCCTCCTCAGACCCTCCTCTCGGCATACTCATACATGTCACTGCAGTGCTTCATGGGGGTCTACTTTGCCTTTTTCTACCTCGCCTCCTACTCGCGCGACATTCAGGGCCTGTCCTACATCAACTCGCTCAACCTCCTCCTGCTCCTCAACGGCATCGGCGTCATCGGCCGGCTGCTGCCCAACTACGTCGCCGACACGCTCGGCACCCTCAACATGTTCATCCCCATGGCCGGCATCAGCTCGCTGCTGGCCTTCTCGTGGATGGCCGTGTCGTCCGAGCCGGGCCTCTACGCCTGGGCCGTCTTCTACGGCATCGCCGCCGGCGGCATCCAGAGCCTGTTCCCCGCCGGGCTGAGCGCGCTGACGGCGGACCCGCGCAAGCAGGGCACGCGCATGGGCATGGTCTTTACGATTGTCAGCTTTGCCGTGCTGACGGGGCCACCTATCGCGGGGGCCGTCATCGACGCCACGGGCGGGCGGTACGTGGGCGCGCAGGCCTTTGCGGGGAGCTGCATGGCCCTCGGCATGGGGGGCTTGATGGCGGCACGGGAGGTCAAGAGGCGGAAACTCGGCAGGGGGGTTTGGGCCAAGGTGTGAGTGAAGGACAAGCCCGTCGGACCACTTTCTAGAGGACGAAATAAAAGCGAATGCAATGTTCGTTTGCTTGAAGAGAAGCAGGGGCTTTATAAATAGTGCCAACCAGCAAGCAGCTCCAACGCTACCTGATATTCGGACACATCAGGTTCGGGGACGTGGATGCATAGTGAGGACTCTGCCTAGCCACACTTGCATTTGATTATTTGGTGAGCGTGATTTGGATAGGGCCTATCCCTGAAGTCCCACGCTTTTGATTGAAGAGTTGCTCTACATCAATGACCGGGACTCGAAACTCTTCACCTGCCGGCTGGTCCCACGCTCATTCGCGAAGGCTTCACTCAATGACGCGTGCAATGTGTTGTCTCGTACATTCCCTTGCGCGGCCGTTTGCCGTACTGCTCCAGGAAAGGGGGGCTCCTCGCGCCAGTGGACGGACCATGAGCTGAAACGCAAAGCAGAGCGTCATTTCACACAAGCACATGATCAAGACCTCGTTGACAACAGCTTGCTATAACTACATCGTCGCATCATCACTCATCAACCGTCCATACACCAATAGTCCCGTGTTCTACACCTCGCTCACCCAACCTTCCGGTAAACTCCCATCTTCATTCACAAACCGAACATCTAATCTAGATGATGTCGTGGTCGCACGCCTTCATGCTCTCCAGGTGCACATGCAGGCCCTCGTCGCGAATCTCCCTCATGGCCGCAAACGACGTAGAGTTGACCAGCGTCTTGGGCACGAGCTCGACGCCGTCCGTCGCCAGAACGCTAATGACGTGGGCCGCGGCCTTGGCGTTGGTGAAGAGCGTCTCAGGGTTGGGGTTTTCAATGTTGTCGCACGCCTGGTGGTAGCAAGCGTCCTGCTCGGCACCCGTGCCCGTGAAGAGGCCGCCAACGGGCTTCTTGATGACCTGCTGGAAGGGAACGTAATCGGTGCCGCCCGTGAGACCGACGGGGCGCGTCTCGACACCCTCGGACTCAAAGTGGTCGAGGAAGAGCTTCTCAATAGCCTCCGAGCCGGGGGCGCCGCCGGGACCGACATCGGCACCGTCGCCGTCAAAGACGCCAAAGAAGCCGCGCGAGACCATGTCAAAGTTGACGTAGAGAAGCAGGTCATCAACCTCGGCCGAGGTCATGTTGTTTACGTAAAACTTGCTGCCCCAGAGGCCGTTCTCCTCGGCACCCCACCACGCGAACCGCACCTTGAGATTGGTCGAGAAGCGCGACAGGGCCTTGGCGAGCTCGAGAATGAGGGTCGTGCCGGAGCCGTCATCGTTGATGCCGGGCCCGGCTTGGACAGAGTCGAGATGCGCGCCGACCATGACGACGTTGCTCGCGTCGCCACCCTTGGTCTCTGCAATGACGTTCTGCGTGATGCGCTCTTCAATGAGCTGCGTGATCTGGAAGTGCGCCGTGACAGCCTCGCCCGCGTCGAGGCGCGCCTTGATGGCACGGCCAGGACCCTGATCAATCAGCAGGGCGGGAACATACTCGACGGGGTTGGGCAGCGAGAGCGAGCCGGCCGTCAGCTGGGCCGGGTCCGAGTTGTAAATGGCGACGGCAACGGCGCCGGCGGCAGCAGCAGCCTTGAGCTTGCCAGCAAAGGTGGTCTGGTCGGGGCACACGCCACGCTCGACGAGGACGATCTTGCCCTTGGCGTCAATGTTCTGCGCAGCGTAGTTGGCGGCCGCACAGCCAGCGGGCCCTGTAGGCGCGTGCACAATGGGCAGGTCGACACCCTCGGCACTCGTGCTAGGCGAGTAGGTCAGGCCGACGGAGCGGAAGACCTCGCCGTCAACGGAGAACTCCTTGGCCGTCGTCTCGACAAACAGGGCAGGGAAATCCTGCTTTCTAATCTCGAAGCCCTTGAGCTTCTCGAGCTCGCCGTAGATGTAGTCGACTGAGGCTGCGTAGCCGGGAAAGCCGAAGGCGCGGTGACCGCCGTTGGCGTAGGCAATGTCATTGAGCACCTCGAGGTTCTTCATCAAGCTGGAACGGGGTGAGTTAGCTTGCCTGGGCCTTGCAGCAGAGACTCTCAACGACGCCGGGAGTAGGGGCAGGGCGCATACGCATCGGACTTGATGAGCTCCTGAAGCTTGTCCGAGTCAACGGGCGGGTGGCAGGGCTTCGTCTGCGCGGCGACGACGGGCAGAAGCGCCGCCGCCAAAGGAGCGTTGGTGAACTTCATGGTAGCAAGACCGTGAGAATTGCTCTTGCGCTGGAGATTGGTGCTGATGGAACCACGGTGATAGACGCAGCATCGACCTGGGCATCATGTCTTTCTTATTTGAGCAGCTGCAAGCCTGCCATCCCCGCAGCCCTCCCGTGTTGTCTCGCCACCCCACCTGCTGCCCATGGTGAACATTGAGCTGGCGCATTTGTTGCTGATCGTTTTTTTGACAAGCTCGGGCAACGGTGAAGATCGAGTTCAAATCGGGAAGGTCGTCATGCCGCCGCCAGAAGACCCCGCAGCTCGAGCTGCCGCCCGCGGCCCAGCCCCGAGTCAGCGTTGCATGCCAAGTGGTCCCTCGAACCACAGCATCGAGGGACCTCATCCACAGTGACACCAAACGCCAACATCGCCTGCCCCATCCGGCCGCTAGAAGCAGAAAGCGTCCAGCCTCCCGCTGCCCATCGCCCGCCTCCCGCGAAGGTTTGCGAAGGTTTTCGCCTCAGCAGTTAACCCGAACCACCACCCCCGTTCGGGCACACTGCAGCCACCCATCACCCCAAGCCATCTCTGCGCAGGTACTGTGAGTGTCGCATCTCTAATAACATTCACGAACACGAACAACGAGTCAAAATTGGGTCGTAAGAATCCATCCACTTTCTTCATGCGCCTCATAATGGCTGGTTCCCTCCCGACCTGCCCATGCCTCGGCTCCTCCCATGTTTCGCCTTTCATCTGCGTGTCGACGAAAACCAACCTATGGTATGTTGTTTGCTCGAACATGCGAAATCCTTCACTGCTGCTGTCTGGTATCCGTTGTCTCATCCGTCATATAATGCATCGCCTCTACATGAGGATCTGAATAGGAGAGATGCAAGGTTAGCAAGCTTTTCCATCGTGGGCGCCGTGACCTCGCAACTTACACATTGGTCGTCGCCTTTGCCCTGGGGAATACCCATCTCCTCAAATGTCGCAGGGCCTTGGCCCGGCTGCTTACCCGGCTTGGCCTGTGCAGGGGCCGGTGGTCGTGGTTGCGCCCCCGGCGGTGCACTCCCAGTCCTACCCTCTAGGTCCGGTCGTCCCACGGGAGGTCGCCCACCCGCACTGGGGCCTGTCGATACCCGGGATGCACTCGCTGGGCTGCCGACCGGCATCGAATCGTACCTTTCCGGTCGACCTCCCGGGCCAACCGCTGTCGAAGCAGGGCGTGAAGATGTCCGCGCTCCATATTCGCGACCGGGCTGTGGGTGCGATGACAGATTCGGCTGGCTGTAGTTGTTCGGCGCGCCAGGGGCAGGCCCAGGACCGGCACCGTAGCCACCGCCACCGCCACCGCCGTACGGACTCTGTGGTTGCGGCTTGTTGTTGTAACCCACGGGCGGCTGTTGTTTGCTGAGCTTATTGACAGCCGGGTTGCTGGCAGGACCTCCACCGCTGCCACCCCCATATGGCTGTGCCGTTGACGGGCGCTGCATATCCTGGCGGCCGTAACCACCGGGGCCAGGGCTTGGCTGTCTATATCCTCCGCCCGCAGGGCCAGGGCTCGGCTGTCTGTAGCCTCCAGGCCCCTGGGCGGGCCGGCCGCGGGGGTCGCCGCCAGTTGGTGCCAGGTTCGCCATCGACTGCGAACCGCGTATGCCCTCGTTGCCGTAAGGGTGTCTTCCACCGGAGACATCCGTCGCACTCGGGCGAATGCCAAAGGCGCTCATGGGTCGGTCAGCGTGGGGCCCGGAGGCAGAGCGGAGGTTCCCAGCGCTAAGATGCCTTGAGGCCATGTCGTCATCGGGGTATGGTGCCGTAGACGGTGATCGGCCGCCGTAGTTGAGCGGCGCGGGCCTGTCATCTTCAGGATATGGCGCGGCTGACTTTGGACGCATAGCCAAGCCTGTGTCGAGGTTGACGCCGAATGCAGGCGTCCTGGCGACCTGAACAGACGCGCGAGAAGGATCAGGAAAGTCTAGACCATCCTGGACCAGCGTCGGATGCTGTCCAGGTGAAGGTTGAGGCGAAACTCGAGGAGACGGCCGGTCGATTGGCGTCGTCGGCGCACTCTCCGTGACAGTCGGCATCGCCTTGCTGGGTTGTTGTTGTTTGAAGCGGTCTGGTCTCTTGCCGCGCTGTGAGCCGTGAGTCGACTTAATTCTGGTCAATGTGGTCGTCTCGTGGTCTTGTTTGGTAAGGGCCTTGGACTCGCTGAGGGAGTCGAGACGGCCAACGGCATCCTTGTTGCCATGTTCTGCAGCTAGCTCGTACCAATGACGAGCTTGGCGGAGATCTTTGGAAACGTGGATGCCGATTTCGTGGTAGTAGCCCATGGCAAACTCGCCAGTGGGCAGCTTGGCCACAGCGGCATCATGAGCATACTTGTAGGCCAGCTGCTCGTTCTTGTTGAAAACGCCCTCGTAGCCAAAGAGAAACCACCTGCTGACGCCGAGCGAGGCCTCGGGCTGGCCCTGTTGCGCGGCCAGGCCGTAGTAGTGGATGGAGTAGGCTGGCTTGAAGTCGCATCCCAGCTGGCACAGCTCGTAAGCTTGGCCCATCTTCAGCTGCGCCTTGGCAAATCCCAAGTAAGCTGCCTTTTCCAGGTACATCTTGGCCAGTGACAGATCGAGGGGTAAGACTGCGTCGGGTATACTAATCTCGGGCAGCTCCCTCGACAGCAGCATGCCGTAAACGTAAGCACCTTGGGGCGCGTCCTCGTCCGCCGTGTCGGCAGCCTCGTTGATGAGCTGCAATCCCCTGTTGTAATCTTTGGGCTGACCGTGCTGACCCAGCAAACTCATCATGCCAAGACGGTAGGAGGCGGCAGAGTCCTTGTGGCGTAGGCCGACATAATAGTGCTCGACAGCTTGCACAAAGTCGTTGGAGCTCTCAAACAGCATACCCATGCGATATTCAGCACGGCCGTAGCCCAAAGCTGCAGCTCGTTTGTAGCCATTGTAGGCCTCCTTCTTGTCTTGACGAACGCCAAACTTGCCGAATTCGTGCCATTTCGCCTTGATGAACATGGCTTCAGGATGATCCTGCCCTGCGAGGTAGTCGACGATGCTAACGGCATCTAGTCGCAGAGTGTGCTCAACCTTGGGGGTCTGGGGGCGGGGTTGGCCATCTGCTTCCCTGACGGCAGCCTCTTGCAGGATCTCGACCCATGAGAGGGTGTCGCGCGCCCATGACAGCTGCATGGAGACATTGTTCGAGTGCAGAACATGCTCGCGAGCTTTCCATAGAATGCCCTCCTTGTCTTCGTCGCTTGGCGGGATATTCTCCCCCTTCACTTTTGGGAAGGGGGAGAAGGAGGGGGCGTCGCCAGTGTGCGACATGGTGGCGGTCTTGCCTGGGGTGTTGCTCGGCAGAGCGGTATAATCGTCGTCAGCAGTCTTTCCGTACGCGTTGGCGGGAGGGCCTCGAAGCGAAGACTGTCGCTGCGGGTGATTGCTGTAGAGGCTGGAGGGGGAGTTGTCGTCGTTTGCCGGTCGGGGGGCTTCGCGTGCTTCAAGTTCCATGCGCTGAAGGTCGTCTTGCATGTTCTGAGGGACCTGCGGCGTTATGCTGTAGGGAGAAGAAATGCAATGTCAGCGGGCAGCATGCAAACCGGTGGACGGAGGTGGCAGCGCGCGCAGGCCGCGAGACGAGGGGTCGCCAAAACCGGACGTTCTGAGGGATTCCCCCGCCAAGTGCAGATTTTGAGGCGGTCCGCTGTGAAAGGCAAAGGCACAACGAGTGAGGCGGGGCCCTCGTGCGGAGAGGTATCAGAAGAGTCAGACGTACCGCTGGGGGGAGGGCGCGACGACCTCAGGCATGTAATAGTCATCGAAGCCGCTGGGAACAAATGTTGCGCCGAGCTGGGGCATATTGGGTGCGGATGCGTGAGACTGCGACAGGTTTTGAGGCTGAGGCAGGAGGTCTGCATAAATAGAAATAGCGTCAGCGGGGGGCGGATGCTCAGTCGTTGGCCGCTGGGTGCCTGGATCGGTGGAGGAACGGAGTGGTCCTGCGTAGGTGGTGGGCGGACAGGCACTACACTGACGGTGGTTGGTGCTGGTGAGCGGCGGATGGGAGCCAGGAGAGTGCTTGTCAGGAGGGCCCTGTCAGAAGTGGGAACGGGGTGGCAGTCGACCAGAGTGAGACTATCGAACGGTCGACCGGCTTCGCGCAGCGTTTGTAGACAGGGGCTTGCTTCTGCCACCACGCTTGAGATGGCTCGAGTGAGCGTTGTTGGGTTAAGGGGCTGAGGGGGTGCGAGGGGAACGAGAGCGGGAACGAGGAATGCGATCGGATGCGGGGGCTTCATCAACACAATGCATCGGAGCGAGCAAGGCCCATCTTGTAGTTGAAGGCGGGGAGGGGCGGAGGAGGCCCCTAGGAGAGGCCCCTAGGAGAGGCCCATTCGAGAGGAGAGGAGCCGCCTGGCGTCTTCGCAATTCATGGGACCCTCGATGCCTGTCAAAATGGCACGCAAAGCCGTGCTACCCTGCTCAGGCACCAAAGGTCAGGTCGGGCAGGGCACGAAATGGAGACGTTCAAAGGCTGTTTCGCAACGGAGCTGCGGCTTGCCAAGGGGAAGCCCACTGTTCCTGGGCGGCTCGTTGAAACATGCGAAAGCGCGTACTGGCAGAGGTAGGGTCACAGTCAACTGAATGAGTGACCCATTGTTGGTGGCTGACCCAGCTTAGCTGTGGATGTGGAAACTGCTGCGCCCTGCCTGACGAACGCAAGCCCCTTTATCGAAGTTGCTAAATCGGAATTGCCTTCTTCGGGACTCAGTTGGTGGGTGATAGTAGCATTCGGCCGATAGGTGCCATCGTGTTGGTTTCCGCGGGCCGGCCGGTAGCTGATGTTGTGTTCTGCGATTGCGTTGCATGCCGCGTCTCGCAGGCAAGGATGCAGGCCTCTGCGCCGTACCTAGCGAGTCACCTAGGTGCCGTAGGTAGGGGTTGGGTGGGTTTTCTGTGCCAGGGTGGCCATTGTTCAAGCGCTACTCGCTTGGTTGCCTTTTCTATCAACCATGCCAGAACGACACACTCGTGTCCATCACCAAGGTAGGATTGCCTGGCTAACCTCGTCGGTCGCAAGGCACGAGCAACTCATACAGTGAAAACAGGCGACAGGGCTTCCAAACAGGTTCACGTACAAAATACTGAGGAAATAGCCAACTTACTGTTCGATGATGGGGAGCGCTGGGCGTGGGCGTGGCCCCGGGTCGAGATGGTTGGTGTTGCCGCAGGCACATCGCTGTAGCCATTGCGAACATACAGCGGTCTATTATTGTAGGCCATGTTGGCCGTGGGAGTCCAGCTTGCCGTCTCCGTCTTGCCAGCGGGCTGGTGGCTCAAAGTGCAAGGCGGCAGAGGTCGAGCACATCAAGAAACGTATGCGTGCCTTGGTTGCCAACGATGGGCTTGAGATGACGATGGCGATGGCGATGGCGATGGCGATGACGATGACGATGGTGATGGTGATGGGGTGTGCAGTCGAAGACGATGATGATATGGACGTTGTAAATGGGAGGTCGTCCGTGTGGGAGGCAGGCAGTCTCGTGTGCGACAGCCTTGAAGAAGTGGGCAGGAGAACAGGCCGTCTTCGTCAGGTGCCGCAAGACAAGAAGACGGCAGTAGGCACTATGGCGGACAGACCAATCTGAGTGATCTCGAGAAGGTGCGCCGCAGGTCACCAGGTCGAGCAACTGTCAGCAGCGCTGGCAGTAGCAGCAGCAGCAGCAACAAGCAGTAAGTGCCCTCGGATCGAAAGGGGTTCAGTCGTCTTTTTAGTTTCCGTCGTCTCCGGCGCTCAGTCAAGCACCTCAAAGTAAGGTACCTCCCCATTTGCTTATCCTTCACTCAATGCTACCCCTAGCACCTACCTACCTAGGTACCCAGGAATACATTGTGACCCAACCCTCCGACAATGCCAATCATGTCTGCCTTTTTATCTGACTTGCGCTTGGACCGACACCCCTGCCCTCTTCCACAAACTTGCATCCATGTAATGATCGGTATGGTCATGGACTCATGATGCCCTCAAACGTCAAAACCGAATCCGGGGTTACAACATCCCTGCTGGCCAATGGTGTGCTGCGTCGCCCGACCCTCGTTATTTCGACAGGCCAGCCTATATAAACGCTGCATGTCGGATTGCTTTAGGCGTATTTTCGCCGAGCTTCGCCACGCCTCCCCGCGGTGGCTCCCTACCTTGCAGACACTGGTCTGCATCGGTGTGTCCTGGTAAGAGTTCTATTGTTGGCAACAAAGAAGGTTCAGGGGCTTTTCCAGCATCCACATTCACCAATATCAAGTCATAGACCTTTAAGGTCGTCCTTTATGAGCACCTGTCACCAGCCCCTGGAGTTCTTCTGTTCGACTGGATGCAATGCACAGTTGCCCACAGTCAAATGTTGCCACACGGCAGTCTACTGAAAAATACCACACTGAAACACAGAAGTTGAGCCGTTCCAGTCGCCTGTAAACGAGTCCTGCCATGGTCGTGTCGCTGTACAGTACCTGTCCCCAAAGTTTGTCTAGTCTTCGGCAAGGCTGCCTTGCCTGAAGGATCTGCCGTTCGGAATCTGCCTGGTTTCACGTCACCTGCAGAATCACGCGAAACCATTGAACGCCTTCACGGCCACAGAGAGGACTAGCGGATATGCTCTCGTGCAAGGGTGGTGGCATCTGGGGGATGGGGGATTGCAGTGCAGTGCATACATGTACATTATGCTCGTGGTATTATTATGTAACCTGCATGAGGCCTGTCATCCCACTGAAGCCACGTGACACAGTCTTGACTTTGTAATCGGTTCCGTCCACCCCCGGGGTGTCTCCCCCAATGACCAGCACGCACCTTCGTCAGCCTCTCAGCAGCCTAGGTACGGTCAGTGACGGCAAGACAATATCACGACAACACATCATCAAGCTCAATCACGACCATCACGGCCACCAACGAGACCTCCCAGCGCACAAGACGCCTGAAATAACTCCATCGCAACCACACGGCCCATCAATACCATCCGAACACGGCTCACCATGGCCGAACGCGCCCTCCAACAGATCCTCTCCCAGCTCCAGGCCCAAGGGTCCTCCCTCTCCTACGCCGATGCCTCCGCTCAACTGTCCAAAGCCAAGCTGGCGCTCCTCAAGCTCAACGCCCTGACACCGTCCCCCACGACCCCCGCCGCCCATCTCGCTCTGGCCCGCGATCTCTACGAGAAGGGCGCCCTGGCCTCCATCCGCGCCCGCAACCCCGACGCCTTCACCCGCTACGTTCACCAGCTCCAGCCCTTCTACGACCTCGGACCGGACGCCCTGCGGCCCAACCCCGCCGAGCGCAACAAGATCACGGGCCTCTACATGCTCCTTCTCCTGACGCAGGGCCGCTACGCCGAGTTCCACTCGGAGCTCGAGAGCCTCGCCACCCGCGACGGCGGCGGTGACGCCGAGGCCGTCGAGGGCGACCGCTACCTCGGCTACCCCATCCGCCTCGAGCGCTGGCTCATGGAGGGCAGCTACGACCGTGTCTGGAAGGCCATGAAGAGCCGGGAGGTGCCCTGCGAGGAGTACTCTGTCTTTTCCGAGGTGAGCCCACATCGCCCCCCCTTACATTACAAACTGTGTCCCTTTCGCCCCCCCCCTGTTCTTTGCTCTTGCGTCGCGGCGGATAGCAACCAACGGACATGAAGACTGACACGCTGCAGATTCTCACCTCCCAGATCCGCTCCGAGATTGCGTCCAGCAGCGAGCGCGCCTACCCCAGCCTGCCCATCAGCTCCACAAAGTCCCTCCTCTTCCTCGACTCGGAGGGGGCCGTCGTCGAGTTCGCCAAGCACCGCGGCTGGCTCATCCGCGACGGCAACATTTACTTCCCCGACACGGCCGAGGCGTCGGTCGAGGAGGGCGGCCAGCAGAAGGAGCTCAGCAAGATGGTCATCGAGAACACGTTGGGCTACGCACGAGAGCTGGAGACGATTGTGTAGAAGGGAAGCACGAGGTGGCGGCCCGACGGTGGACGGTAGACGTGGTTGTGTGTACTATTAATAAGACCGACAGAGGCGGGCAGGAATACAGGTTTCCGGGGGCGTCGCCAGGTTTTTTTTTTAAACTACCTTCATGATGCTTGCTTACTGCTGCTGTGCGTGAGCACCGGTCATACTTGATACTTGACCAGATATCTGTCGCAGAGACTCGTGTTCAATACTTGATCTGTCGATGCCTGGTGCCAGCTCGAGTCGCACAGCTACCCCACATCCGTCACGTTACGCAAGACCAGATTAACAATTCGACGTCGTTGCTGCTAGCTAATGACAAGACGCCCCGAAATCACTCGACACAGCAGTCGTCTCTAAGTAACTTTTCCCAGGGGGCCGTCCACTCCGAGTCGTTGCTTCGTCCATCAATTCATCCCCGGCCGCCTTAACTCTTTTATGCGAAAAGCTTCAACCCGCTACCATGCTTGCCAATCTCACAGACCTCGCATACCCTGCACACGCTTCCCTTGTACTTGCTGTGGTACTTGGAGCCGTCAAACGCACACTCCTCGTACGCCGTGCCGCTGTAGATTGGCGTGTGGCTGGCAGCGCAGACCTCGAATTCGGCAAACTGGTCAAACTCGAGTTCAATCGAGTCGTGGGGGCTACGCTCGCACTGAGCCTTGATCCTCTTGGCCTGTCATGCTGTCAGTTAAATACTCTCACGACCAGCTGGCAAACAACACTACTTACGTTCTCAATAATCTTGGTGGCGCCACCGTTGGCGATGATCCTATTCGCGAAGCTGAGTGCAGAACTGTAGTTCTTGTTCTTAACCGCCAGCTGCATGGCGCTCAGCAGTGCGAGTTGCCTGTGAGGAACCTCAATCTTGGGGATGGTGAAGTACGCCGATAGCTCCAGGCTGCGCTTGAGAAGCTCGGGGTTTTGCGACACGACATCGGGAGCGCCCAGCTCTCGGCGCCCGAGCTCGACCGCCATGGCGACGGCGTACTCACTGGCCGAGGTGATGAGCTTCTTAGCCTCAGCCACCTCGCTTTCACTCGAGACAGCGTTTACGAGGATGGTGTGCAGGATGCCCTTGAAAATCTTGAGGCCCTGCTCCAGCTTGTTCGTTTTCATCGAATCGTAGCCCTTTTGCAGGTCGTTTGTGGCAAGGAATTCTAGATCGCGTGGCACAATGGGAAGAACCTTCCTTGGGTCCGTCTCCTCGACGGTGCGACGCACATAGTTGACGAGAGGAGGCAAACCTGCCGATGCGGGCAGGTATGTTTTGGAGGACCGGTATACTTCGAGGAACCGAGGCTTCAAGGGCGCAAAGTTGACGGCACCGACCTGCCGGTTGAGTAGCTGCATCGCAGTCTCGTAAGAACCACCGGCGACGTGGTCCACAGCTAATGGCGAGTTGCGAGCCCAGAGATCGGCCTCGCTGCTAGCAGCACCCCCGGCGTCAGCGCTTTCAACGTTGACAAAGTCGCCCTCGACTTCGGGAACGACATCGTCGCCCATGTCCCAGCCGGCAGCGTCCTCATCGTCATCGGCATCAATTAGGTTGTCATTGCGTTTGGCAGTGCTGTCACCTGCTTCATCAAGACCAAACTCGTCCACTCGGGCTGTGGCATCCTCCAGAGCGCCGCCAGCGGGGTCGTTAAGCGCAGTTTCGAAGATCGACTGTGAGGTTGGCTTGGTGGGCCAGTTGGCTTTGTAGGTTGGCACGACCGGCTTTGGGGGCGACAAAGGCTCTCCAATTGAAGGCATGGTGAGCTGGTCTTCGGTAAGACCAGTCGCCTCGAGGATGCTCTGGCACTCCTCCTCTAGGCCGTGGGACTTCGCAGTCATGAACGCCAGAGGGTCAACGTGGGGTTAGTGAAGGTGATAATAAAGGAGGACTGGTGAACTCACAGAGGTCAATTTCCTTGAACATCTGGATTCTGTCCTCAACCTCGCCGAGGTACAGGGCGTTCTGGAAACGGGAAGTGAAGTCGCCACGGTGCTCCGCAATTTTGGCCATACGAGCCAACTTGGAGTGGTCACCTGTGGAAAGATACAAGAAGGACAGCTTGTCGAACTGCTTGAGCTTCTGGTAGCACATCTCCACGATCTGGTGGTTTCCATGGGAGAGAGCCTCAGTGCTCAAACGCGTCCAGAGCTTGGGTCGATCCAGTTCCTTGGCCACCTCGACAGCAACATCAAGGTTACCACACTCGATCGCGAGTTCGAATCGGGTGGCAGGGTCCTCGACAAACTGCAGGGCAATATCTGGATACCCCTTCTTTTGCAGGTACGAGATGATAGATTGGCCCACAAGACTCGAGTTCTTGATGATGTGAAGCATCTCCTCGTAGTTCCTCTTCACAAGAGCAAGCTTAAAGCGGTACTCAGTAGGATCGATTTGCAGAACCTTAGGTTTGGCAGCACGATCCAAGCAGTACACGTTGCGACCCTTGACGCGGACGAGGTAGACAGTCTGGTCAAGTGTACGCACAATGCCATTGTCGCCATTCATCAAAGTGTACTTGATGTGGTTCAGAGTCGAGTAGAGAAGAACGCCAGTATCATCCCAGGTGGCACTCTTGATCCTGATGGTCTCGTGAAGGGTGCTGACCTGCTCGAGCGACTTGGTAACAATGGTCACGTTGTGCTTGCTGAGAAGTGCAGCATAGAGACCGTCATTAGACCACACAACGTACTTGACACCGGTGACGGCAAGCTCGGCGACACTCTTTTTCTGCTGAATGTCATAAAGGTGAACATGTGTGGGGTTGATGATCAGGAGGTTGCCGGTGCCGCCAAAGTAAATGTCAGTCGTACCAACAGGGGGCTTGAAAGACCGGGTGACATTGTTCGCGAGATCCTTGATGTCGATGGTCTGGGAGGCCACACTAAGAACCGCAAAGCGGTTTCTCGCGACAAAAATGGCAGAGTTTCCAGAGCCGCGCTTAGACTCGGTCGGTTCAATAGCACCAGAGCTATCCTTGGGTAGGCTGATAAGCTCGTAGGAGCCGCTGTCGGTTGTTGACGTGACTAGGACGGACCGCTCGGCAGGGTTATATGATATCGTTCGTGGAGGCGACCAAGGGCTGCCCAGCTTCTTGAGGGACAACAGAGTCGGGCTTTCGATGCTCTTCTGGAAATCAAAAGACTTGACGTGCTTCTCCTTGTTGATGTAGAAGAGGTTGTTCTGGTACACGGCTGAGGCCGGGCGCTCCCGTTCGAGCTTGAAGACCATCACGCCGTTATCGTGACCCGCCGCAAAGAGGTTGATCTCGGGATGGGCAGCAATGACCCAGAATCTATCGTTCTCGCGCTTGAAGGTCTGCACTGCTGTCCTCTTGTTGAGATCCCAAACCCGGACGGTCTTATCCTCTCCCACAGAGAGAATCAGATCCTGGTGGGGGTGGAAAAGACAACCCGAGGCGTTCTGGAAATGACCACGGCAGGTATCGACTTCCCAGGCTTTCGTTTCGCTCATGCGCCAGAGCTTGACAAGACGGTCGTCACCGGCGGACACAATGAGGGGCATTGTAGGGTGGAAGGCGACCCAGTTGACACCACGGTCGTGACCCTCGAGCACAAACTTGACAACAGCATCGGTGTTGCCGAACATGTCGGCCTGGTTCTGGTTCGCTCGGGCGACTTGGTCTTCAAATGTCATGGAGGTCGGGGCGGAGTGCTTCTTACGCAGGCCGGAAATGTCCCAGACACGGACGGACTGGTCGAGAGAGGCAGAGACGACGAGGTCCTCCTTGGGGTGAAACTGAGCGCACATGGTGTAGTGGTTGTGGCCCGTCATAGTGCAAACTGTTATGGAACGTTAGCATACGCGGTCGAGGATAGCGTGTGCGGAAGGTGTACTCAGGGAGCGATTCTGCCAGTTCCATATTCTAATCGTCTGGTCATCGGAAGAGGAGATGATCCACGGGAGCTCGTGGTGGAAGAAAACGGTGCGAACATAATCGAGATGACCGCTGAGGGTGAAGAGACAACGACGGGTCTGATACGACCAAACCTTGATCTTGTAGTCGTCACCGCCCGAGACGAAGAGGGGCTGGGTCTTGTGGAAGTCAATTCCGCGAACGGGGCCATCATGCTCCTCGAATCGGTCGATCAGAGTTCCCATGCGGTAGTCCCAGAGCTGGATCGTAGACGAATGGAGGGCGACGAGAATCCATGGCCTATGGAGCTATGTCAGCAGGGATGAATCGAAGGTCAAGTGAAGAGCGTCGCGCCCTAGATAGGGAGGCTGTGAACGTACCTCTTGGGGTGGAAGGCAATGCCCTTTGCGCGCGAAGACTTTGACTCGAACTACAATACAGTAAGTAAAGCGACCCCTGAGAAGATGCTGCATTGATGGATGCGATGTACCTTGGTCAACATGTTATTGCCCGAGGCCGACATTTTGGCGGGGAGGTGAAGCCGCAGCTTCGAGCATCCAGCGAAGCAACAAGTGGCACTTCAGGCAAGGCTCGGCGACGGCTTTCGATCGTGCCGGGGAGTGTTACGGCAGCTGCGGCAGGTTCGATGGCCGAGAAGGAGGTGGTAGGAGGAGAACGAAGGATGACGGTGTCCGGGTCGGTGATCGCGGGCTCAGGTATGTCGAAAGGCCACTTTCCTGAGGCTGCCTCAACCCCCTTAGCAGCAATTCGCTTCGTGGCCATCTGCTAAGGTGTGGGCATTGTGGGCCCAAGCCTGGCAAGGGGGGACGCTCAAGTGTTAATCCGATTCCGGGCACTGTAGCTCGCTCACCGCCCCTGTCACCCCTCCACAGATGCCACCTTTCTGCCGGGTCAGACCCCTGAGCAAGGGGTTGCGCTATACCTGATCTGAACAGCTCTTCCAGTAAAGGTGTTCAGATTGTGAAGCCGACGTCAACTTCGACTCGTCTGTGCTACGGACTTGATGCCCCTCATTCGCGCTTGCTGCTGGAGGGCTTGCGAACCAGATTACTCTACCTGTGCTACTTACCGTGTGGTATGACTGGGCCTACAAGCCTGACAGGACCTCGTCAATTCAAATCCTCCTCCCTTTGAAGCTTGGAACCACCAAGCTGTCGATACAGGGCGTGACCCACGAGGCCCGTACTCTACCTACCTAGGTACCTAGTTACCTACTCAACATACCTCGGGGAGCGGAACCATGACACTTCTCTGTCGATCGCCATTGGGGCTGGTTGCCATCTTTTGGGCAGCCGTCAACGTCTCGGCCGGGCCTTCGGTCAATGTACACATGCAAGCGGCCTTTCCGGCTGGTCCCTACCTCCTGGAACTTCTGTAAGGGACAACCCGTTGCCGGCCATGTTCTCAGCTCAAGCTAATGCAATCATTCGTTCAGGGAGACTGCTGCTGGCGAGAATGCTACGTCCTATTTCCCCATACTCGACCGCATTGCTAGCGGGCACTTCAAGGATTCATCTACCCACAAGGCGCTGTACGACGACTTCCTTCAGCTTCTACAGGATGACAACCATATCAACAGCCCTGATGCCTTGTCAACATTCAAGCTCGCGCTATCCATGAGGTTATCGGCACCACGTATCGAAGCCCATTATCAGTATTATGACACTGCTGTCGCGACACATGTAACTGGAGGAAAGCAGCAGGATTGTGAAATCTGGCTCCAGTTCGCGGGGTCCCAATACTGCTCTCCTACACTGGAGAACCCCGAAGCGAGGGTTTCCAGTATCGTTAAATTGCTTCCCTTCGACCGCGTGATAGGAACAGGCACCGACGTTGCTCTCTATGCAGACCCTGCGTCAAGCGCATTTGGTGCTTTCCATCAAGCATTAGCGCAAAAAGCACGGAACGGCGAGATCTCATACCGGCTTCGCTATCGCAGAGCTGTGGGCGCCCTGCAAGAACCATTACCCGTTAATGGTTATGGCGTTGAGCTTGCCTTGAAGAGGACTGACTACATTGTTATCGATGATCGTGAGGCTCAAACGGATGGCCCGCAGAAGTCCATCGCCACAGAGGTCGTCCTTGATAAGGAGGAGGAAGTCGCAGACCTCAAACCTCTTTCAACATCTGACTTGGCACCGTTGGGTCTTAAGGCTGCCTCTTTCATCACGCAAAGCCAAGATCCCTGGGACGCTTTGCTCAAACTGACACAAGACTTTCCCAAATTCTCTTCGTCGCTTGCTACCCACGAAGTGTCTGAGGACTTCTTGGCTGAGCATGACAAGAACCGCGCTGCAATGGCGCCCAGTGGTCTGAATGCTCTGTGGATGAATGGCGTGCAGCTTACTGAGCGCCAAATTGAGGCATTCACCTTGATCGATATGCTTCGTCGAGAGAGAAGGCTGATTGACAACATTCGGAACCTTGGACTGACCGGCCAGCAAGCTGCTTTGCTTCTGGGACATCCCAAAGTTGCCTCGGCGAAGAACGACGATGAGCCGCCGAGGTTTGATTGGCGTGACGAAATCGAAGAGGGCAAGGTCATCATTTGGCTCAACGACCTTGAGAAGGATGCCCGCTACAAAGACCTGCCCTCTGAATTAACCTCGGTAAGCAAAGACCTTTCATTGAGGAACCAGAAACCCGGCTGACGTTCGTAGCTGCTTCAACGCACATACCCTGGCCAATTGCCTTCGATTCGCCGGAACATATTTACCCTCGTTGTTCCGGTCGACTTAACCAGTCCTGAGGACGTGACTGTCATCAGCAATCTTTTCACTTTCGTGGAACGTCGGCTCCCGGTCCGCTTCGGCTTGGTTCCTTTGACGCCCAGTGATGACAAGGTCGCTCAGGCCAAGGCCGTGTATCACTTGATGCAAAACTATGGTCCCGAGGCTATGGTAGCCTACCTGCAACAGTCCGTTGAAGACGCGAAAATCTCCAGACCTGACCAGATCGTCTTTGATCGAGTTGTGGCCGAGTCCGTCGCTCTTCCCGAGGCATCTACTGCTTCCTTCGATGACGTGATGCAGTCCGAGGAGCAAGCGGAACGCATCAAGCTTGCTCAACACTGGGTCAAGCGCCTCAACGCTGGGACAACAATTCCACCGTTTTTCTTGGACGGCTTGCTGCTTCCTCGAGACAAGGGATGGCTCAGGACGATGAGCATGAAAATCGGCGGGGACCTTCAAACAATTTCAGCGAGGTATATACATGGGCCTTATTGAAGAAGACGAGTGGGTTCCCGGCCGCTTCCTCAAGGGCGCTCTCAGTCGTCGTAACAGCTACATCTTTCCTGAGGATGAGAAGTCCATCCAAATCCTTGACGTCAATAAGATTTATGCGGAACACGACAATCTCTTTTCTGCGGTCCCTGTCATTCAGGGCTATGCTGAGGCCACCAAGGAAACCTGGGCAGCCCTGACAATCGTTGGCGACCTCACAACGCAGGCCCGGAAGGGACTTGCTGTTCGCGGCGCTGCGATTTCAGCGTGCCAATCCCGGCATTCGTCTTGACATTGTGCACAATTCAGCCTCGACTACGACCGGGCCACTCATCAATGCCGCTCTGAGAAAGGAGGAGAGCGCTTTGACTGAAGTAGAGACCCCGGAGCAGCTGAAGGCCATACTCGATGCAGCTGAGACTGGGTCTGATGGGGACTATACGATCGCCCTCGCATCATTCTTGTCAGCCGCCACCATCGCACCTGGGGCCAACGCACTCATCCTCAACGGTCGAGTCATCGGTCCGATAACTGAGGACCTTCCTTTCGATGAGGATGACTTCCAGCTATTCCTTGAATCTGAGCAAACAGCCCGAATCCTCCCTGTGTATGCCGCGCTGGAAGATCTCAGCCTGGCGGATCGTCTATCTGGACCCCTTGCGGCTGCCAAGCTGACATCCATCACGGCACTTTCGACCATCTCGGATGTGCCTGAGGGCATTTTCGAGTCGGCCTCTACTGTGCGTGTGAATTCGTTTGAGGCTTGGGATTCAAAACACACTGCAATTGAGGTCGGAAACGCGGAGACAGCAAGCATTCATTTGACCGGTCTTCTGAACCCCGTCAGCGAGCAGGGTCAGCGGTGGGCTCCGATTCTCAAGGTTCTCTCTGAGCTTGATGGCGTCCATGTCAAGCTATTCCTCAACCCCAAAGAGGAGATTAGCGAGCTGCCGGTAAAGCGATTCTTCCGTTACGTCCTCGACTCCGCGCCGAGCTTTGACGAGTCGGGTAAGGTTCGCGCTCTAGGTGCCACATTCAAGGGTCTTCCGAGCGAGGCTCTGCTGACGACCGGCATGGACATCCCTCCTTCGTGGCTCGTGGCTCCCAAGGTCTGTGTTCACGACCCGGACAACATCAAGTTGAGCTCTATCAAAGGCGATGTGAACGTCATCTATCAACTCGAAAACATTCTCATCGAGGGTCACTCTCGCGAAGGCAAGGCTGGTCAGCCTCCTCGAGGTGCTCAAGTAGTCCTCGGCACGGAAAAGGAGCCGCTCCTAGCCGACACCATCATCATGGCGAACCTGGGGTACTTCCAGTTCAAGGCCAATCCCGGCTTCTACAACATCAACCTAAAGGATGGCAAAACAACTGAGATTTACACCATTGAAAGCATAGGCGCGCAAGGATGGGCGCCGGTGCCTGGCGATGAGGGCACCGAGGTCGCGCTGATGGACTTTCAGGGCACCACACTTTACCCCCGCTTAAAGCGCAAGCCTGGCCAGGAGAAGGCCGATGTACTGCAAGAAGACGAGGCAGAGGAGGATGGGGGTATTATCTCCCAAGGTCTCAAATTTGCTGAAAGCCTACTTGGTGGCTCCACCAAATCCCTCTCGGCGCAGGAACACGCCGACATTAACATCTTCTCCGTGGCCAGCGGTCATTTGTACGAGCGCATGTTGAACATCATGATGGTTAGTGTCATGAAGAACACGAAGCACACGGTCAAGTTCTGGTTCATCGAGCAGTTCCTATCGCCCTCGTTCAAAGATTTCATCCCTCACCTAGCAGAGGAGTACGGCTTCAAGTACGAAATGGTCACGTTCAAGTGGCCGCACTGGCTACGCCAGCAGAAGGAGAAGCAGCGCGAGATCTGGGGCTACAAGATTCTCTTCCTCGACGTCTTGTTCCCGCTGTCCCTCGACAAGGTCATCTTTGTCGATGCCGACCAGATCGTGCGCACTGACATGATGGACCTCGTCAACCACCCGCTCGAGGGCGATCCCTACGGCTTCACGCCCATGTGCGACTCGCGCACCGAGATGGAAGGCTTCCGCTTCTGGAAGCAGGGCTACTGGGCCAACTATCTCCGCGGCCAACCCTACCACATCTCGGCGCTCTACGTCGTCGACCTCCGCCGCTTCCGCGACCTCGCCGCCGGCGACCGCCTGCGCCAGCAGTACCACGCTCTCAGCGCCGACCCGAACAGCCTGGCGAACCTGGACCAGGACCTGCCGAACCACATGCAGTTCACCATTCCCATCCACAGCCTGCCGCAGGAGTGGCTCTGGTGCGAGACATGGTGCAGCGACGAGAGCCAGGCCGAGGCGAGGACGATCGATCTGTGCAACAACCCGCAGACGAAGGAGCCCAAGCTCGACCGCGCCAGGAGGCAGGTGCCCGAGTGGACCGTCTACGACGACGAGATTGCCGCGCTGGACCGCAGGAGGAGGGGCGTGCCCGAGGAGGTCATCGAGAAGAACCCCAAGAGCCGCACCTTGGAGGAGCCTAAGAGTACAGGCAAGGATGAGCTGTAGACAGGTCCATGGTGCAGTCTTGCGGCATGAGCTGGTTTCCTTTTTTTCTTTGGAGAAAAGACGAAGTCATGAAGAGAATAGGAAGTTGAAATAGACATGATTGACATCAAGCCTCGTGAATATTATATCAATCAAGGGGATTTGACCGATGAAACATGGACTCAAGTACACCATGCCTAAGATGAACTCACATCATACGCACATTTCGGAGATATTGTCGATTGAGCCTCCATGACTGGCACTGCCGGGTTCTCTGGACTGAGATAGCTTTTCCTGCCCACCGGGATACAGACTTCGGGTGGAATGGCTGATACGACGAAGAGAGGCACTAAACAATGCGCACACTCCACATTGACATACGAGATATAAAGTATATTGTCTACTCTAGCGAAATATGATATCAAGCAAACAGCGCCAAAACAAGGCATCCGGCCCCAAACTCCTCGCATGATGCATTTCAAACATGGCTCAAGGCTAAACGCTGTACACCAGTAAAGGAAAAAAACTGCCACTCGACGACTTGTTGACCCAAGACTCTCCAGCACGTCAAGCACCTCTAGTGCCATCTCTTCTTCAACAGGCCATTTAATGTGAAATATACTGGAAGACGGCAGATACCTCTGGCTCCCCGCACTCCTGTCTCAGAAGAAGATCCTGTATAGGTTTGAGGTGCTCATTGATAAAGTGATTCCACGTGCTCGTGTCACCGTACAGCATGGCGGGCGCCTTGATGTGCTGCCTACCATCGGGCTTGCAGCGTTTGCACTTGAACGTGTCATGGGTATCAGACGTCGTGCCAGGACGGTACTGGAACAGCTCTCGAAGACCGTCGAGCGAGAAATGACGCTCGACGTCCTCTGCCGAATCGACGACGCAGCTCGACAAACTCTGCTTGTGACTCTGGCGCTGGAAAATCTTCTCTTCGATTGTGCCTGTCGCGATGAAGCGGTAGACGAAGCAGTCCTTCTTCTGGCCATCACGCCACACACGAGCAAGAGCCTGCTGGTCAGCAGCAGGGTTCCAGTCAGGATCGAAGAGAACAAGGCGATTGGCACCGATGAGGTTGATACCGCAGCCACCAGCTTTGCTGCTCAGGAGAAAGACAAACTCCTCCCCAGTAGGGTCGTTAAACTTGTCGACGAGCTTCTGGCGCTTGTTGACGTTCATGGTGCCATCAAGACGGAGGCAGCCATACGCGCGAGAACGGCAAAGCCGCTCGAAAATATCCAGCGTCTGCGTGTAGTTGCTGATGAGCACAATCTTGTCATTTGTATCCTGACGAATGCGAGCCAGCATGCGATCGAGAACCTGCATCTTGCCAGAGTACCAAGGCTTGACCTCGCGATTGCGGTGGCCGCGAGCATCCTTCGGAACATAGTCGTCTGGCCAGCAATTTTCCGAGCCAGGCAGATCGTCGTTGAGATTCAAAAGATCTGGGTGGTTGCAGAGCTTCTTGAGGATGTTGATGGCTTTGAGCGGCTGACTGCCCTTGCCACGAAGAAGGGCTTGGATATCAGGACTTGTGAGGAAGTAGTTGTACAAGTCCAACTGGAAGGGTGCGAGATTGCAGAACACGACGTGCTCGTACTTGACAGGAAGGTACTTGGAGAGGATATCGTTGGTGCGCCGAATGATGAATTTGTTGACGATGCCGAGCAATTCGCTGAGACACTCATCGCCCTTCTTCCTGTCAGTCTCGTCTGCATCAGCGTCGCGGCCGCGGAGGATGGGCAGCTCGAATCGCTTGCGGAACTCGAGTCGCGTGCCGAGCAGATCAGGGTTCGCAAAGCTGATGAGAGAAAAGTATTCGGAGAGATCATTCTGGATGGGCGTGCCCGAAAGAATGATTCTGCGGCTCACGTTGAGGCTGTTCAAGGAGCTGAAGGTCTGGCTGTCGCCGTTCTTCAGGCGATGACCTTCGTCACACAGCATGAGACCAATCTTGGTGTGCTTCAGCTCGTCAACGTTGAGACGGAGGGTTTCGTAGGACACAATGATGACGGGCCGCGTCACAGCCCTGCCGGATGCAATGGCCCACTGTCGCAGCTGGCGGGTGAGTTCCTCCTTGGAGGCTTTGCCGTCGATGGCGAACGGGGTGACGGCATCTGCACCGAGCCACTTGACAAGCTCGTTTGCCCAGTTCTTGACCAAACTGGAAGGGCAGACGACAATGGCCTTCTGGATGGCGCTCTTGCCAGCCTCGGGCGATTGCTTCAGCAGGGTCCAGAGCAGGGTGATGCACTGCAGCGTCTTTCCGAGGCCCATCTCGTCGGCCATGATGCAGCCATTGGCTCTCTCGTCGATCATGCCCGTGACGCATTTGTACATGAACTTGACGCCTTCAATCTGATGGGGACGCAGGACCTTGCAGAGACGTGGGTCAATGACGACGGGCACCTTGGGGTGCTCGCCCTCGACCTTCTTCTTGATACCAAGAATCTCAGCCAAGCTCTTGTGCATCAGAGGGGCATCAATGGTGGTTGTAGGCTCGGGCTCGTCCTTGGACTTCTCGGGGACCTTGGGCTTGTCGTCGACGGTGGGATCGTACAGCACGATGGCGAATTCACCGCTCGGGTCGTGCAGCGCTTTCGCGACAAAGGTGGCACCAGTCCGCAGGCCGAGGGTCGGTGGTGGTCTGTTGGGGTTGTAGCCGCCCACGTTCTTGTTGATCAAGGGGACGGCAAAGGCCTTGCGGAAGACAACGCCCTTCTCCTTGGCCTGGAAGACTGGATAGCGGTTTGCATCGCGGTTCGCGAGCGCGAGGCGGTCAGCATTGGTGTACGGCTTGTCAGCGTCCGTTTCGCCATCAGCGCCTTTGTAATCGACCTTTCTGCGCTTCCGGGCAGGTCGATTGACAGCAGGGCTGGGGGCGGCAGATCCGGGGCATTTGAACGGCCTGTGGAGTTTATCTCGGGATTCGGGCGTGGGCGCCCATCGCTTTCCCGGCTGGGTATTCTCCTTGTTGGCAACAGGCGTAGACACTGTCGTCCTTGGTGGGGGGTTCAGTCAGTCAGTATAGGCGCGCCGAGCAGGAGGACACGTGGATGAGGCATACATTTTGCAATTCAACTCGAGTCGATGGAGGATGCAAAAAGACTCTTGGCCATCAAGCTGCGCAGCAACTTTGATTTGAGCGTCGACGCTGTCTTGACGTGTGGCGAGTCGTCGGGTGGCGGGGGCGACTCGAAATGTTGTTCTGGGGAGACGCAAACGCGACGGGAGCGCGTCACTCATTGACACGCGGTCACGTGGCTGCAGGCAGCACAGCACACCACAGCACAGCACAGCTCAAGTGCCTTATGTCATCAAGATGAAGTGAACGGGCAAGGCAAGGTACCTTAGGTAGGCAGGCAGCAGGCAGGCAGGCAGGGGCATGTGAAGAAGGGGCCCTCCGATGATGGCGGTCATGGTCTGAGCATTCGCTACCACAAGGTCACATCCATCTACAAACCCAATGGCAGCGTCCCTCCTGGTCCTTGATGCGAACGCCCAAGTGAGGGATCAATCGACACAAACCTCCAAGATTCTCAGCTCCCTGTGGCATCATCTGCCTTGCGCCCGCGCGTAGTGTTCCCTCGGCTCAGTCTTCGGCACCAGACATTCGGCACCAGACAGTGGAGCTCCTGCTTTCTCACCTCTCGCCAGCATCATGCCTAGCACCGAGTCTCTTCAACCTCTCACCCACGAGGAACCCCCCCTGCCCCCTCCTTCCAGCCAGACCATTTTCATAGCGGACAATTGGCCTCCCTTTGTCGGTGCCGCTGTCGTCGCCCAGATCGCCCACTATCGGCACCTCGGACGCAAACGCACGACGACGCCAAACCTGAGGAATGCGCGCTTTTGGGCCTTAGCCGGAGGTGGATGGATGATCACGTACCTGGGCATTGTCACTTCGATTGCCGTCGCGCAGGCCAAGGTGAATCACTACCGAGATCCCAAGACACGGGGCCTCTACTCGTGAAGCCGACGCCCGTCAAGGCTTTTTTTTTTGTTTTTCTGGATCTCGCACGACAGCCACATACGCCATGTCCGCCGACTTTTGGGCAGGCTACATCAGCGGTGCCGTCGGCATCATCATTGGCAATCCCCTCGACGTCGTCAAGGTCCGCCTGCAGGCCCGCGATGCCCTCGCCGCGCAGACGCCGTCTGCCTACTTTCGCCAGTTCGAGAACACGGCCGCTCTCGTCACCGGCACGGCGGCCCCCATTGTGGGCTACGGCGCCCTGAATGCCCTCCTGTTCGTCTCGTACAATCGAACAGAGGCGGCGCTGAACGGCATGGCGGGCGTGCAGTCGAGTCTCTGGACGACGTGGGCGGCCGGTGCCGTTGGCGGCCTCGCGACATGGGTCGTCAGCACGCCGACCGAGCTCGTCAAGTGCCGCGCCCAGCTGTCGTCCCCGCCGCGGTCGAGCTGGGCCATCGCCAAGCAGATTTACCACACAGAGGGTGCGAGGGGGATGTACTTTGGCGGCGTCGTCACGGCGCTCCGCGACAGCATCGGCTACGGCTTTTACTTTTGGTCGTACGAGCTGAGCACGCGGTGGATGGCCGCGGCGCCGGGCGACGCGTCGAGCTTCCATCAGGAGGCGGCCAAGGTGCTCCTCTGCGGCGGTCTCGCGGGCGTCGTGACCTGGGCCAGCGTCTTTCCACTGGACGTCATCAAGACGCGCGTGCAGACGCAGCGGGCCTTGGGCGGCGAGGCCGAGACGGCGCGCCTGCTGGGCGAGGGGCGCACACCCGAGGCGCCCTCCCAGGCACGGCAAGGCGCCGTGCAGATGGCCAAGGCTGCGTACAGGGAGGAAGGCCTGCGCGTGTTCTTCAGGGGCCTCACGGTGTGCAGTGTCAGAGCCTTCGTCGTCAATGCTGTGCAGTGGGCTGTCTATGAATGGGTCATGCGCGAACTGGGGCAGAGCAAGAAGCGGGTAGATTTGACTGAATGAACAAGCACAATCTCAGCCACGGCTCGACTCTTTTGCATCTCGTTGAAAATGATGATGATAATGTCACCTCAATCCATCAGAGTCCCTGATTGTGGGACTGGAGATGCATGTGATGGCGATTATGTGAACTCTCCGAAAAGTGGCCGGAGACGTTTCGCTTATTTTGTGACAGTTCCGCCCTCTTGGCGCTCGTCCCATGGGAATGCCAAATGGCCGCAGTATGCCATTCAGCCTTCTCTGTATTTTACACTATTAAGTACACCCTCCGATCCCCTTGACAGCGTGGCATATGGTGTGGAACCGCGAGACTGGCGGTACTTGATTCCGGTTAGGCCGGCCCTGAAGTCCATGTATACTAGTTGATTAGCGAGGGAAAAGATCGAAGAAATAAGGAAGAAGAATAAGAATACACTATTGATCTACCGTCGTATCTGTCAGTAACTCCGAATCAAATACCGTCATCAACGCTCTCATGGAACAGTTGGCATCCTGCCGGAGACTTTTGACGATCCGGCCCCACTTCGGTATGTCGCCGGCCCCTCCGCCGACTTTTCACTCTGGCCATCACGGTGCAGCTCTTTGGTGATTTCTGTTTCATGCATCACTATGGCTCCTCAAAATGATTCTCCCGCAGCAACTTCCATCAGCACCCCGGAGACTTTCAATCACATCCGGAGACAAAATGCTTTGCCAGAGTGATGAAAGGAACATATAAGCCCCCAGGGCGCCCGTTGACAAAAATGCCCTTCTTCGTCAATCAATAATCACAAGTACAGGAGTTACATGCTGTCACCAAGTCCCTCTCATCAGCAACAGCAACAGCAACAGCAACAGCAACAGCAACAGCAACAGCAACAGCAACAGCAACAGCACCAGCGAGACGAACACAAGATGCGCCCTCACGACGTCCTCATCGTCGGCGGTGGCCCCGCCGGCCTCTCAACAGCCACCTACCTCGCGCGGCAGCTCCGCACCGCCGTCCTCTTCGACTCGGGGGTGTACCGCAACGCCCGCGCCGAGCACATGCACGGCGTGCTCGGCTTCGACCACGCCGCCCCGGCTTCCCTGCGCTCCAAAGCGCGCGCCGACCTCCTGGCGCGCTACGAAACGACGACCCTTGTCGACGGCGTCGTGACGCGCATCGACAAGACGCCGCAGGGCCCTCTTCCGCGCCGTGACCGGGCGACGGCCGTGCGTGGCACGGACGCAGGGTCGTCCTCGCGACGGGCGTCACGGACATCATGGCCCCGATCCCCGGCTTCGACGCCTGCTGGGGCCGCAGCGTCTTCCACTGCCTGTACTGCCACGGCTACGAGTCGCGCGGCGCCGCCACCGCCGGCGTCCTGACGGGCGGCTTGGTGGCGCAGGCGGCCCTGGGCGTGCACATGGCTTGGATGGCCAAGCAGCTCGCGGACCGCGTCACCATTTACGCCCACGGTGACGAGGCCATGGTCCGTGACCTCGAGGCCGCCATCGACAAGACGCCCTTTGTCGTCGACGCGAGGCGCATTGCGCGGATGGAGCATGGGCCCGGCGAGACGGAGGTGACGCTCTATTTTGAAGACGGCACATCCGTGACGGAAGGCTTCCTGGTGAGTTCCTGCTCCTCCTTTCCCTCTTCGGCTTTTTTTCTGGTCTTGGCTGACCTTCGTGTGTGCCTAGGCTCATGGACCTCGTACCAAGGTCAATGGTCCCTTTGTCGAGCAGCTCAGCCTCGACCTCACCGACAGTGGCGACATTAAGACGGTCAATGCTCTTGGCGAGACAACGTGTCCAGGCGTGTATGCTGCTGGCGACAACATGCAAATGATGAAGGCGGTGCCCCTAGCGGCGGCGGCGGGCGTCATGGCCGTTGCTGGTTTGAGCGGACCCTTGAGCAGCGAGCCGCAGGTGGAGGTAGAGGTGGAACAATAATGTTGAAGAGAAGATAAAGCTAGGCTTCTGTATATTGTCTTCATCTATTTCGTTGTCCGATGCCCGTTTCCATACAAGCGTGGGTGGGCGCGCTCGTAATCGAATAACAAGCCTCGCTGCATTCTTGTCTTGGTATGACGCCAGCGTAATCAAATATGCTCAGCGTTCTCGTCGTGAGAGCCACTTTACGTAGGCGTACCGACAAGGCACATTCTTCCGTTCATTAACCAAGATCTACAGTCTGCCGTCGTCGGTGGCTGTGTTGCGCCAACAGTCTCGTCTGTCGAATTTTCGGAAGCCGCTGGGGCAGCCAAGAAGGCCCTAGTCATGAGTACGCACGCGATAGAGATATCTAGTCGGAAAACACAGCCACAGCGTATGCTTGAAACCAAAAAAAAAAAATCGCTTCATTACAGTGGCCATCCGTAGTGGCTCTGGGGCCAAGATATCGTAGCAGCCGTGCACATGCCCACTACCAGACAGGTGGGGTGCTCGAGGAGCCATCGAATTGTGGAATGCGTAGTCCAGACACAACCTCCTAGGACCTAAAGCCATCCTGAACAACACTCTTCCATCGTTCCACATCATTGTGAAACGCCCGTCATATTGAATGTCCCCGCGTGCCATGGTATGCCATGCTTTTATTCATACAGCAAAGAAAAGTTCGTCAGATCGTATCGTCAAAGAGCGCTGCATCCGTGGGTGCTGCCCCGACTGCTGTGCCCAGAACTGAGGGCTGCTAGCATCAGTAACCGTCACAGGGGACACGGTTACAAAGTTGAAGCCTGCTCCCGTGCTCGGGAGACTCCCGTACGGCTGTTGCGCTATAGCCCATCCGACTGACCGTGCCGTCATCTCTGCGTCCTCTGGGATGGGTATTGCCTCCGGCATCGGCTCGACGGGCGAATGCAGAACAGGCTCGCCAGTCGCCGAGTAACTGACAACGGCCCGCGGGCCCTGGTTCCACCATTGTGTCTCGAAGCCGTTGTCAACCGTCATCATTGCGTTTGATAGATCCTCCATCTCGGCCTCGCGTGTCGGGTCCTCGTGGAGCAGCAGCGTGGTGCGCGAATCTGAAGTAACCTGGATGACGGTTGGCTGGTTGGCGAACGGCACAAACTCGCCTTCGCTCAGAGACTGTTCATCCTGCCCATCAGGTACGCCGAACTCGGTGGGCCACCCCGTCGACCACGGCACACCGCCGTCTCCCAGGTGCTCGCTGAGACGGTACGAAGTAGGTATTGCTGGAAGAGCTTTCCATACATCGGCGCTGGTGATGCAGCGCTCATGCGAGGGGCGCTCGTGTTGTGTAGCTTCCCGACGGGGGAGCGCGGAAGCGCCCATGGGTTCTGGTTCGGCATCCCAGGGACTCTGATTCCAAGGCGGCGGCGCCGAAGTACCACGCTCATGAGAAGAGCCCGATGAGTGGCTATCTGCGCGTGACTGTCTCCTGTTGAAAGGGGGGTAGAGTAGGGTCTGTGAGACGGGAAGGTTAGGATGGGCAACGGAGCGTTGCCGACCGCGAGGCGAAGCCGCTCGCTGTGTCGGTTCCGCTGGAGTGTCCACTTGTTGCAGCAGTTGTGCTCCTGGCTGTAATTGCAGTTCCGGGTGGGAATCTGGCAGAGGGCGTGGTGGCGTGCGCGTTTGAGATTGTGGTTGAGCTTCTGCTTGAGGGTGTGGTTGGAATCGCGGTTGCGTGGGTTGCTGCTGCTGCTGTTGTTCATGTGCAGGGATCGAGGTAAACTCGAGATAGTTGGTGTTTGTTGGCGGAAGCTGACGAGGGAATCCCGTGCGATCGCGCCAGTTCCGAGACATGTAGGTCAGGCTATGTCTGTTGCCAGGACGTCGTGGTGAATAGGATACGCCGAACTCGAAGTGAACGTAGATCTGAGGCCGCCGAGTCGCGTCTGGCGACTGTTGGGCGTCCATGGCATAGTCTTCCTCGACGGCTGTGGTCTGGACTCGGGGGAGTCTTTGGTGTTTCTGCTTGTGTTGCTGCTGTGATAAGGGATCCGTCCTGGGTAATAAGGTCATGCTGGGTTGGTACGGGGTCAGGTACGGCGGGGAAGCTGGTACGGTCAAGTCGACAGGCGGCGTGGACGGCAGGCTAGGCGGACGCGCTAAGGAAGATTGGCGCCGAAAAAGGATGGACGAGGGACAAGTAGCGCAGGTTGTGGATGAATTAGTGATGTGGCAAGAAGGAGGGCAGGCCTAGACGATGAATGGATGGGACCATATGTGCGTTGATGTATAGTGAGTGAGTCTCGGAGTCTGGTAGCAGACGGCACGAGCCATGCGGGTTTGACCAAATAACCCGAACAGCGATGCAGGCAGGGGTGAAGACTGACGGGCCAGATTCAACAGGCCAGGTCCAAGATGGGGTGTCCCGGCCTGGCGGAGACGCTTTTAGTGATCAGAGGACCAGAAACTGGATGACAGGAGGACCTGCGCCGCGTCCCGCTGACGCCGTTGCCATCTGCGGTGGGCCCCAAAATGAGACACTATGCTTGTCGGCCTAGTATCATCGAAGAAGGGTCGTCAACTACTTACGTCGGCAATGACGGCGAGCAAGTAGAGCCCAGGGGGAGGAATCACC